AAAAGAGATATGACACACAGAAGTGGACAAAATCTCTGAACAGTATGTTGCAATACAAAGGTTAAATTCAATAGATGGGGGGCCTCAAAATTACCATTCATGTCAACTGACTTGTCTGTAAGAAAAAGCAAACAAAGACTGTTGCTGATATAGGGTTTGTGAAAAGATTGAAAAAGTTTTCTCACCACAGAGAAATTTTTATTCTGACTTCTAATCAATCAAATTAGTTATGAAGCATTGATAAAATCTAACATGTGGCAGTTGTTTACCCTGAGTTTCCTCCGATATTTCCCAACTAAAAGATCTATCTATCTGAGGGACACACAAGTAAATCATATACTCTATAAAACATGAACATAGCCTTGGTGTGTTATGTGCACATGCACAGTTAAGTCAAGCTCAGTTAGACAATTTAACTGATCCACTGCTCTTGTCCCAGTTTACATGCACTGGGTAAGAACCAAATTACTGACAGAAGTATGTCTGCCTCCCCTGCAGCAGACAGTGACACGCCCTCTTTCAGCTCGCCTCTCATCCCCTGGTTGACCTGTTTTGTATCAATGACAACACGCTTAGTACAAGGCTAAAAGGATGTATGTCAAACAATGAAAACACTTTTTTTTTTTTTACATCTTTTCTTCATCTGGGGAGGTTTCATTTCCTACCAGCCATCCAAGGAACAGATTCATACTATTCCACTTACAGCTCAAAGCCTAAGGTGCAGACTGTTGGGCAAGCATGGAACACTTGGGCCAATTCCAGTCTAACTGGGCTGTACGCATAAAAAATAAAATAAAATAATTCCCCAACTGCTTTGTCTAGGTATGTTGGTCCATCCATTAGAAGTTTGATTTACTAAGATTTTTTTATCGCCAGCATGTAAATGTTCTGAGTGATATTGGTTTCTGAAATGGAGTTTTAAAGACTTTTGGCAGTGGTCACTATATTGGAAACGCTTACAAAACCAAATTTTCAGTTACCCTACCAAACTGCAAAGATATAGAGTTGAGGTGGGTCTACAGTTTTATCACTTACAACTAGGTTGCCTGTCAGTCAGAACAGCTGAGCTTCTCATGATGTAAAGCCCTTGTAGCCAAAAAACAATGAGATTTAAAAAAAAGCGTACCAGACTGTAAACATGTTCAGTTCTGCAGTTTAAATTGTCATTTTATGACAGATTCTGGTTCAGGCACTCGCAGCCAGCCTCCAGTGGACACTCCAAGAACAACAAGTTTTTTTACACTTTAATATTGGCCCCATTTTTTTTTACTTCATAGGTAGCTGTTTGTTAACTATGTGTAAGGTATGTTTTGTAGAACATACCATGTGATTTCTTATCACTTTCCCTCAGGTTGCGACTTGAGTAAGAAGAAACGAACTTCATGCGTCGTCTGTAGTTTGCTTATTTGGAACAAGCACCACAGGAGACATGGGCAGACAAGGATGAAAGGGAAATTGGGAAGCTAAGATCCCATCCAGATGTTCCTACAAGAAGGCAAACGGTGCATACAGAAGTACAGAAAGGAAGTTGTAAGGTCAAATGGAGGTCAGAGTTTATAAAATTTCAATAGTTGTAAAATAAGAAACCTCTACGTGAGCCGTGTTATCTTAAACAGCTGGACCACATTAGCACTATTTAAACACTAAGTAAGTCCCTTGAGCTCAATCAAATCTCTTAGAATTCTGCTGCCTTAATGTCCTTCAGTGAAGAGAGCTTTTTATTAAGCTGATATATTTAAGCGCAATGCTTCATTTAAAGGGTTTGGTAAAGGCTTGGTTGTAAAAGTGCCAGGCCTTTCAGCAGAGGCGACGGTATTAGAAATGATACTCTATCAAGAGTACACTTATATTTGAACAGAGCCTTGCACTTGCAGTTGTGTAAAATTTCAAATTTTGACAATGGTCCTGACAGAAAAAAACAATTCATTTTTTGACCAAGAGATCCTTTAGGTAAGTCTCCAGTCTTACACTTCCAAAGGCATACAACTGCAAGTGGATATGGACAGACACTACTATAATAACTTTGTAAGGACAACTGCTGTTATGATAAACATTTAGTAGTCAACATAATGATGAGGGTTACAAATACAAGCTTTCTTTTGGGCCCTGTAATGAGCCACATCTGACTTTGGTAATGCAACTGCACCCGACTGCCTTGAAATAGCTGCCCACCAAAGCACAAAGGTGATTAACTGAGTAGTGATGGTGCACAGGTATGCACCAGCATACACACACACACAAAGACTCATATACCATATATGCATTGCACACACTTTGCTCTCATGCATTATTAGATTGATAAAACTGGGTTCCATACATCCCCTCCATTCCCTCTGCATCTCATGACTGAAGCCAAACTATTTCAGATGCAGGGGAGCATTACTCATGGAATGAACAGAGGCATAAAAAGAGAGGGAATGCAGAGATGGAGAGCGAGAGAGGGAAAGAGGGTGAATAGATGCATAGGGTGCACAACTGGATGAGATAAAGCGAGATAAAGTATTTCAGGATGAGGGGACATTGGGGGAGAAAGCACAAACATCTGTCACAATAAGCGGATGAATGAGAAAAGAGCCTGCTGAATGTTTCAACACTTACTTTTAGACACACTGGACTACCTTCTCCACTGCTCCCCCTCCACAGGGAGATGGAGCAGCAGAGAGAGCAGCGTTTCCAGTTTTCTATGCATCCTCAAGCAGATTATGAGAGTGTTATCATGTCACTGCCAAGTAGGCAAAGACCATAAAAGCTTCCTATTGAAAACCCTGCAAGAGTCAGCTGCTGTGGACTTGTAAGTGTGTATTTGTCACTGCTTGTGCGTGCAAGCAATGTGACAGAAGTGTTGGAAACATCCTGAAACATACCTACAGTCCCTAAGCGCTCCCTGGAGGAGAATTGTGTAAGACTCCAATTATTTTCTTATCCTTTATTCTTTGTAAATGAGTAGTCATTGATAATTTCTTTTAAAGTAAGTAAATTGCCTGGAAGGATAAGTAGAAATTGCTGTATTTCCTATGAATCATCAGCCTTCTTGTTAGGTTGATGACTCTGAGTTATTATGTGGATGTGGAAAGAGTTGAGCCCCCGCCCCGCTGAGGCTGGCAAGTGACAAGTAATTTATTTTTAAGTCACATAAGGACTCACAGAGGTGACATGTATTTCTCACCTGCCACCTGGCACCTGTCCACCCAGTCTCTTTTTTTCTTTAAGTATACACTAGCGTATTAGCATACATTTGCACAGGCACATCCAACCAATTAAAACACACAATTCCTCACATATCTGTGTTATTGATTGAAAGTAATTACATTTGCTCCAGGCAGCTTAGGGCCACTGCCAGTGCACGATGGCACTTTTTGCCATCTGTATAATGAATAAACACAGCACTGGGATACTTTGCTAGGACCTGAAATACAGTATGCTTGTTACCATGGCAGGTGCTGCAGTTTCCATGTATGATCTGCAGTTGAATGAAACCTTGATTTTAGATTCTACGAAAAAGACTACACTGCTGTGTGTCATTGACAAAAGGAATGCAGACCACTGGAGGTCTAAAAATGAGGCTTTTCATTTTATCCAGCCAGGTATGAGTGCGACATCGACAAAAATCCTGGTAAAACTTCCAGCCCTGAGGGTGACAAGCAATCACTCCATTGAGCTTCCAAAGCATTGCAATAAATATATTCCCCTATTTTTAGCACCTCTGTGATTATGATGTCTGACTTTGTGAGCGCTGGCAGCCGGCACTTTTTGTCACTCACAGTGGATGCTGAATGTTTTCTGCTGTGGTTTCAGCAGTAGTGCAGAAGCAGGCTTTTAACTTTGAATCCTTTTGCACTGCTCAATCATAAGAATCTGTAAGGGCTGGGACACCCATACTCTAAACTACACTTTACCTGAAACAGCATGCAACTGACACTGATGAAGTTTCTTAAGCAATTGAGCACTTTACTATTTCTATTGTGCAAACAATGAAAGAGTCTTAATTCAGTTCAGACTCACTTATCTGGAAAAGTGAAAGCCCCCTTTTCTCATTAATAAGGACCTCATGGGGACATAGTGCTTGTTCCATTCCTTATTCACAGAAAGGTGTTATATAACATGTTTACACAGGTCTGTTTAGTTCCTCGAGTCTTACAAAGAAAAAAAAAACATCCAATGCCTTCTTTTGTTAAGCCGTATGGAGCTCCACTCTCATTCAGAATTGCAAGCGCTGAGCTTGGGCTGTGTCAGACACAGTCAGTGAAGCTCATCCACCCACAGAGATACAGTCGGCATGGTACACAGTATTACGTGACAGTGCACAACAGGAGGAGTCTGGGGGAGCTGAAACCTGACATAACATCCATTTAAGAAGATAGCCTTTAACTAAGAGGGCTTTTATCTGCCTGAAACACTCCGTATCCAAGGCTGCTCCTCAGGGAGATTTCTCAGTGCAAGAAAACCATCCAAGATGCAAATAAGAGGAGTGTTGAACTACACTCATCTGCATGCAAAAGTGATCAAAGATCATATAATTTGTTTTCTGTGATGACTGACTATACTTTAACAAAATAATATGAAAGGTCTGATTGTTTTGCACAATTTTGATGTCCTAAAGTCAAACTGTTTGAAAACATCTCTCTTTCTCTGATGCACAGATCTTCTCATTAACAATCTTCTGCTGAATATTTTGTATAAAGGCTGCTCCTGTAATATTTCAAGGAGTTAAATGTGTACTGAAGGATTAATAGGAGAGAGAGTAAAGATTTACCTTCTTCAGAGCTGACATTCTAGGTGGATCCTCCTCCCGCAAAGCCTGTTCACATGCTGGGGTCCCAAACCAAGTTAGAAGGGTGTTCAAATCCTAACTCAGCCCGGTGCTGATGCTGAGCCATGAGGCTGCTTAGTATTCTCACCTCGCATCCACCCCGCTCTACAGCTGGCTCTGTGTGCGCACGCCCCAAACCGCTGCTGTTACAGGAATCAAACACATGGGGAGCTCTAGTCTAGTCTTAAACATCAATGGACGATAGGTATGATGACAGAAAGTTAGTAGCCTGACTGCTGAATAAAATAAACTCGATTATTTTGGCAGGAATATTCATAATCCTTATAAAAGTTATAATTCTGATAGTCTCGTTTAATTTTTTAAGTCACAAAATAGGATGCTTTGGTGCAATACAAAGTTGAGTCCTCGATTTAATCAAAACACTGGAGTAAACACTTTTCAAGAAAGGCACATTGCACATTATCATCTACATTTTCGTCTTTGTGTCACAGGCAAGACTGCTTTACACGCCGATTTTAAGAATGGATAAAGCCTGTCAAAATACCGTATTGATATATGATATAAATTATATCTGTATGTTTTATTTTACAACTAATGTATTAAATTGCCACTAATTCAAATGTGGATTTGTGGGCTGGACCGTAGAAAGACTTCCGTGTGCCTGCTGTTAACTAAAGCCGGGTAGAGATAGTGCAGCTGGAGAACTTCGGGGATTATTTCTATTTGGAAAGCTTAGTTAACACACTTTTGAGTTATTAGGCGGTTCCCGTAAAGAATTTAGATAGGAAAGGACTCGTCTATTTTATCGGCGTGATGTTGTACCTCCCCTCGAGACAGGCTAGTGTAAGCAGGCTAGGTTGGCTAGCTAACTCCAAACGTGTTAGCTTATTAGCTGTTACTCCATGTCGCATTTAAACTACAATGCTGCTCGCCTCGACTTAGACAACAGTTTGGGACGTGATGGCACACAGAAAGGAATGTGAGTATTACGTTATTAGTGTTTTACAAAAGCCCTAAAATGTTTTATTTAGCTCGCTAATGTCGCTAGCTAACAAATGTAGTAGCTAACTGTTGTAAACAAATGCACGTGTTCCTCAGCCTGTGCTCTGATAACATACAGTAGGTGATTACCCGGCTAAGTATGAGGTTTCTTGTGTTTGTGTCTCCCATTTTGCTCATATCCATTATAAAGAAGCATAATGATGATTGGAAAACTTCTGTTTTCTAATTACTTATCTGTAATTTATAACCAGGGTACTTAACCAATGCGGCACTACTGCATCAATTGTGGTATCTATGAGCTACAACATGAGGTCAAACACCTAGCATGAAAGTCCACTATTTTAGTTTAGAGGGCTAATTAAGTCATAATAGTAGTTTTGGGGTAAGCTGAGAAAGTAAATTAGTCTGATGAGAGGATCAGAGTTTCAGTTCAGATTGTTGAAATGTAGTGATATGGCTCAACTTACCCCACTCCTATGGTCAACTTACCCCAAACACGGGGTAAGTTGACCATATGAGACCACTTTTCTGGCATGCTATATTATCAAGACAGTTATGTTTACACTCATTCTGTTGGTTTGCAGGGATGCACAACGTCTTGAAATATATGTAGATACACTAGTTAGAGACAAAACTATGATTGCCTTGATGTAGTGATCCGAAATATGAAAAATGGCTCATCTTACCCCACTCTCCCCATACTTGGAAACACACAAGTTCTTAAATTTTGGAGGCTGCATTAAAAAAAGAATCATTTAAATATTAAGTTTGAGATTGTTTCTTTTACTTTCTAAAAAGGTTAAGAAATCTTGCAATTCAAACGTATTTTTACTTTTCTATGTCTTAGTTTTTCAAGCCAAAGTGCTCCAGAAGCTTTACCCTGCAGCCTCCAAACCTAAAGAGGAGCCCAAACCACCACACAATGTACAGATCCCAGCCAAAAACACCTGTGTGAAAAGAAAAGCCTCTCAAGTGGACTCTGCAAATGGTAAGATAGTTTTTATAGTTTTTAATCCCCTGGAAATACTAAGTGTGGACAAAGTAAAAATGCTTTATTCTCTGAGTCATTTACTGTATGTACCAACACTTAATTGTCGCAACTCTGCTGCTCTTAATGTTTTACACTGATTGATTTGTTTGCTTTTGTTTATAAAATGCAGGGAAGACACAGAGTACATCCACTCCAGACAGGCGTCGGCTTTACACAGTCCTGCCTCCCCCTGCAGACTACAAGCCAGATCCAGAGAAATCCATCACATTCCCCCTGCTAGATAATATAAAGAGTGCCAAGGACCCAGCTGGTAAGAAGACTATAATTTTACATTTATGGACTTAAAGTTACGCTAGATTTATGTCAGGGGGTTCCTCCAGGTTGGTTCTCTCTGGCTTTTAAGTCATTCTTCCAGTTTTACTCTGCCACTCTAGTTAAAGGAAAAGGGCACTGATAATAAACCTCATTTTTCACCCTAGGAGAACCTAAATTGAACACAATTGGTCTTTGGGCTTTCACTTTGATTTGTCCATGAATGTATGTCTGCAAAAGTAAATTTAAACGACTTATCTAGTCATCTTGGTGGCTGAATGGTGAGCTTTTGTAAATGTCCAGTTGAAATGTTCTTGACATGTGATGAATGTCAGGCAGTTTTCAGCATCATTGAAGAGTATTTATTTTGTCCAGGTGGAGTGATCAGGCAGTAATAACACTCCTGGCTTGTTTTCTCTCTATACCCATCATCTACTTTAATGCAAACCACCATCCATTTGACAGGGTTCTGCTTTTACCTCAATAGGAGAAGAGAGATTTGTTAGCTGAGATAGTGCTGGGTCTAAAGGTGCCGCTTGAATGAATGATGTGGTTAAGTCTGATTAATTGCACCCATCCGCCTAACAGCCCCTTAATTGGATCACAGTTTTGATTGAGTGGGCACTGAGCCTTGATGGAAATTGTACTCTGAAGTCCTTTAGAAGTTCAGCTGAGGTTGAGCCTCAAAAAGATTTTGTGGTTGTAAATCCATGTCATATTATAGAGACAGTTCAGTGGGAAACAGTTAATGAGTGAATAGCTTTGATAAATGTATTAATAGTGAATTGGACAACCTTTGAAAAATGTGTAAAATTACTGGACCTTTACGCTGTTTTCATACTGTCCCAGTGATGTCTGAGCTCAGAGTCCTGCTGACAAATATACTCCTCATGCCCTCCAAGAGTTATATCTGGTCAATTCTAGAATGTGTTGATTTGTTTGTGTACCTGCAAAAAGTTGCTGTCTTTATCCTCTGATTAACTGAGGTGGAAACTACCATCCTAAATTCTAGACAGAAAATTTAGCTACTGAATTGCTATAATGTTAACAGAGAGGTGTGTTTTTCATGTTAGGGGTTTGCCCAGTATGTGTCATTTTTGAGAGGTGTATGGCCTTGAGGAAGTGTCTTGCTGCTATGGTTTTACAAAGGGCTATAGCAATTAATTGTTGAACAGAGACTTGTTTATGGGGCTAGTTGATTTACCAAAAAAAGAATTGTTTGTGGTTTAGGGTTATTTTCATGTTTAGGATGTTAATTATTTATTTATATATTATTATAGATAGGGATGGGAATCACTAATGGCCTCATGATACGATATTAGCACGGTACTTGAGCCACAATACGATATTACTGCGATTTTTAACATTTTGCAATTCAGTGAGTATTGCGATACAATATATAGCTATCTATACAATTTTTTCAACTGTTTAGCTAAATTAGCATTTGACTTTCCTTTATGTTTGTCTAATTTACACAGCCTTTTATTTTCATGTAGTACATCCTGCACACCGAATGTGTCAGGTCCATCTTATTTGTGCCCTGCTTGCATTTCTAATGTCTTTCCCCATGTGCTGCTATATTTGTTGCACTAACTTTCTCCTGCTCTATAATGTCACCTCTGACAACATCACTGGACAAAAAGTTGATTTTTCTTTTCCATTATCATAGATTTGACTTCATATTAACAATTAATTTGAAAAAGAAAAAACAAAACTAACTTGGTAAATGAGACGATACAATTTATCACCAGACCCTATTTATAGATATAAATATATCATATATTTCATAATTTGAGGATTTTGGTCTGGATTTGAGCTAATGAATGGAGTCAATTAAAGGTATCAATGTCTCTGAATTTTTTCATAGCTATGTAATTGTAAAAGTGCCACTTTCCCAGCTGCGTTATGTTCTTGCTGGCACACCACTGTAGTCAGGTTGGTAAGAACAGGACGAAAGCTGTTTTTTTTTTTTTTAAACGTGTTAGTGCTCTGTGAGTTGTAAAAGCAAAGAAGGTGTGAAAGTGTGGAGGAGAAGTTGTGGAGGAATAGTTGCTTAGCTAGCATGAGTCCTGTTATGTGTGAGGCTTGCTGTTAAAATCAAGTTGTTCTTTGGTAGATAGTTGTACATATCCAAGGAGGATTTAACAGGTTAAAAGAGCTGAAATGAGAAAAACAACCTAAGAGACACTAAACTGCAAAACTCAAAGATTTGAAGAAATAACAGAGGACAGGTTTTGTGAGGGCATGATTTACCAGGTTTCTTATTTGATAAACAATTTCACCAGTGGAGTAGGCGGAATACAATAAAACATGAAGTTGCTTACATGTGGAATAAACTTATTCAGTGAAATAAGGAAATAAAGACACATTATGAGGCGTCACTGGAGCTGGAGCACCAAAGTGGTGGTAGTTTTTCTGTAGGCATTTCTTTGACCCTATCCAAATTGCGTGTAAAACTGACTCTTATAAAAGACACAGAATCTCTGCTTATTGTAAAATTCCGATCAAGGTCACTTTTGCTTAAGAGCAATAGAGCACCGTAATGAAATACTTTCAGAGGTTCAACTGTGTTTTTAAATACCGTAACTAAAAGCTTATGGTCTGTTTGTCCTCAGAGGATAGCTCCAACAGTAGCAGTGAAGATCCAGACCATGAAGAGAAGGAAGGAGAACAGAGAAGAAAAAGGAGAAGAAGGAAAAGAAAGCCTGCCCTCCACCAGGACTCTGGTAGAAATGAAGCAGCTCCAGTAAGTGAGTCCAGCATCGGACAGAGTCAGACACCTGTGGATGAGGGAGAAGAGCACATCAGCAGGAACAAGAAGAGGAAGCTGAAGAAGAAACGGCACAAAGAAAAGCTGCGCTCCATGGGTCTGATGCCCCGGGCTGCTGCTCTGGAGTTCACATACCAAAAAGACTGTGAAGAGGAGCAGCAAGATGTTGAGAGGAGAGCTGCCGAGGTGGCTGAATTCCTCAGAACAACAACAGAATTCTACTTGTCAGATTGTAAGTGTTGACCAGAGCAACGCCAGCTGATTTAGATGAGCTGGTTTCTGAATTTTCTCAGTTTAAAATTTTATAGCTGCAGACAGTTAAAGCTTGTGCTCACCAGTGTTCATATTTGGAAAAAATAAACTCCCTGCCAAGGGTTTGAGTTTTTATTCGGTTTGATTTTGACTTGTATGGAATTCTAAGATGCTGAAATCTGGTAGCTCCTCAAAATAAAGTTTACAAACACATAATTAAATTCTACCAAAACACTGAAAGCATTTTAATGAAAGCAGTTGATTGGAATTGATGCGCTTTTGCCACTGCACATCTGTGCTTTTTGAGCCTCAGTTTGACAGAGTCAGCACAAATTACACAGAAAAGGAGTCCAAACACAACAACAGTAAATGGACTAAAGTGTAACAGTCAAAATCGAAGCACCATTAGAATGCACTGTGAAACCTTTGAAATAGTGATTGAAGTCAACGAGTTTTCATTTCTTCTGCCAGTTTGAATACTGGCGAGTAAGAAATGAAAACAGCTGTGATTTATTTATCTACGTTCTTTCATTATAGCAGAAATATAACAGATGAGTCTTCTTTCTGCTCCCTTTCATTCATATTTGGGAATGTTTGTGTATACCATATATTGAATTGTTTTAATTTTAATCAAGAAAGAAATAAAAAAATTAAATAAATAAACAGTATGCTAAGATAAGTCCACAATGTTTCACATACTATATGAACCACAATAAATGTATTTTTAATCTTGGCAGAATAAGCAGCTGTGAAAAACTCCAAATTCAGGTTTTGGTAATCAATCCGATTCTATTACTTAGTATTTAATCAAAGCTGGCAGCATGCCCAAATAAAGATGTTCATTTAGAAGATTAGTTGATAACCAGGGTTAAAAATAAGTTATCTGAACCTTATAGAGCAGCCTTGCAAATGTCAGAGACTGAGAATAATAATGAAACTGCGCAGATATAAGACTTTGTCCATTCTTCTCTGTCTTCTCTACCCATTTTTTTTTCTTCTTTTTTTGGGATGACAGTTACTCATGGGTAGAGGCTAAGTGATAAAATTTTGAATTAAAAGTGATTCACTGCTAATAACAAAGTTGCTGTAGATTTGGTGTAATTTCTAAATATGTATAATTGTTTTTTGTCTTTATTAGGATTGTATTTTTGTTATTTCCCCTTTTTTAATGAGGCTTGTACATTTTATGGGCATCTTTAACAGACCTCATCTCCTTTCTCCTGTTCTGTTCCAGCCTCATCACATGTGGACAAGTTACCACTATCTTGGACTGTAGATGACCTCCTGGGCAGCATTGCCTGCAGTGATGAGCCTGCCTCAATCCTGAAGCAGCTCTACAACCTTAAGGTCTTAGTTCATCAGAGAGAAACAGATAAGCTGGAAGAAGCACTGATGGAGTTCCAAAACACATCCTGTTTAGCTGAGAGTAAGAGAAACATATACATGACATATTAAGCTCAGCAAGGTTGTATCTGATGCCAAAAGTAGGCATCTTTGCTTGTGCTTAATGACGCTTCATGCTTTGTTCAAGTCGACCCCTGTCCATACCAGCCTCATCTTGCCGTGATCTGCCCTACAAACCTCACTGACCTGTCTCTGCAGGTTAATACTTGCCATTGTTTGTCTGCACTTGCTCTCTATTCTATTTTTACATTGATCCTTATTGTTCACCTGAGTATACCTGTCCTCACTTGCCTTCTTCAGCTTTAATCTGCACAAACTTGCCCTGAATACATTGTACTTGAGCTGCTGGTCCAGAGTATTTTTCACACATAGGTGACCTCCACCACCAGTTTTCCAACAAGTTTCAACTTGTTCATTATGCTGTTATTCAGCCAAAACATCTCAACAGTCCCCAGACACTTCCCCACCTGTGCATGTGTGTTTGTGTGTGTTTGTGTGTTTACATGGTTGGCTAGCTGCCTGCATAATAGGATCAGTAGGGACTTTGCTGCCTTCACATGCACAAGTGTGTGCGCTTGAGGAAGAGAGCGAGAGATAGTGCAGCAGAGTCTAGCTTAGAGATTTAAGAAACTTCAAAATTAGTTGCTGAAAATTTGCATTTGACTCTTTTGGTCCCTGTCAACAAGACAACACAGAGTAAAAAGTCTCTTTTCTCCATTCACCCTCTGAAAAAAGCCAAAATCAAACATCTTTTGAGCTTTGCCTAATTCCTTTAGCAAAGAGACTAAACACAACTCACCTACTCTCTTCCAGCAGCTGCTTGTTTGTAGCGAGACCTTGGGCCAGTCCATTACGGACTGCTGCGGGGTGGCGCAGTTCAAGGAAGAACATTTATGATCATTTCTTTATCATTTCATTGAAGTATTAATCACCATATTAATCATTTTGCACTGCAGATGCGGTAGTTCCTCTACCTTAGCGTCTCGGTCTGATTGCATTTCCATGAAGAAATGATCATAAATGTTCTCCCTTGAGCTGTGTCACCCCACTGTAGTCCTTAATGTACTGGCCCGAGGTCTCGCTACAAACAAGCGGCTGCCGGAAGAGAGTGGGTAAGTTGTGTTTCATCTCTTTGCTTAAGAAATTAAGCAAAGCTCAAAAGATGTTTGGTAGCTAGTACTATGGCTGGGACTCTTTATATACTGTTGATGAAGTTAGGTGCTGCTCTGAGCATTATTTGTGGCTATAGAGTGGCGTTTTGGTTGAGGTTTGTGTATGGCTCCTCAGACTGGTGTGTATTGCTATCGTGCGGTTGTTACTAAAGTTGGTATAACTAGAGAAGCAAGCAGTCAGCAACATTCACCTCTCTAGGGGGTGTCTAACTCTGTGTTTCGGTGTGTTTGACCCTAAATTAATTTAACGCCGGCATATCCCTTTAAGTTATGCTAAGCCTCCCTATACAGCTCCACCAGAGCTGTGTGGAAGCTTTTGAACCACCTCATATTGTCTGAATTTTGTTTCTACTTAATGTCTCAAATTGCTGCCGCTTTTAAACAAAACTCCAGTGAGTTGCAGTAGAGAGGAATTTATATTGTATTAGTAAACCTTGTCATAGAGCTTTTAAGGCCAAAGCACTGGCATTGTCATTTTTTACGTCATAGAACTCGATGAAAACCATTTAAAATGTTTTTGTACTTTTTTTTTAATGGCCGCCTTTTAACAGAAGCGTTCTTTCCTGAATGCCATCCACTTTTACTGCTTTGTAGGAGCTACTCCATGAGCTTGTGCAGAAGTATACTTTTTAGTTCTTGAACCGTGGGAGAGGGTCTGAGACAGATTTCTCTTAAGCATATTTTACTGCGCCCTGAAGTTCCTTTCATGTACCACGACTGCTTGACTCTTTCCTTTTATCCTGCCCATTTTGTAGCCACATGCTTTTCTGTGGGTTGAAATGTTACTGTGGAATACAAAAGAAAAAGTAGAGGAAGGATTTTGTCTAGATGAGAGAGGGTTGTGTTGTGTTAAATGTTTACATGCAGGAAGAGGCAAAAAGTAATTCTGAACACAAACAAGAGATTCATTATGCAGAAAATTGAAATGACAAATATGTTTCTGTAGCTGAAACGTTGCTCCTTTTCTCTTTGTGTTCCAGAGGATACCACTGCAGTCGTTTCACTGTTTCATTACTGGATCACAGACATCCTTCCAGTGCAGGGAGACAAGACAACAAGGCTCTCCTCAAAGAACCCATGAGACTGTCAGTCAAAGTGGAACAGAGACTGCTGAGGAATTGTTTCCACTTTCCACCATTACTTTTGACAAGAGAGCTCTTTAAATATTTTATTTTTTTACTGTGATGGATGTTACATGATGATATGAAAAAATATTAAATCACTTTTTTGTTCTTAGCCTTTTTCGAATCCTACTTTGTGCCTTTATGAGTTTTAGGAAGAAACAAATAGTTAATTCTGACATGGGTGAATCCTCTCACACACCATGAGTGAACTTGAAGTTGTGATCTATAATATTTACCTCCCCTTTCATTCAAGTTTTATGAAGTACAAAGAAATCAAAGTTTCAATTGGTATAAACATCATTACCTTCCCACACATCTGACTCTTTAAATGCCAGAAAGCCAAATGTCAGCTGTACTGAGGCTTTGGTGTGATTTGCAGATAATCAGACTTTGACCAAGCGGATTAACCTGATAGTTGCCTAATTACCAACAACACACTCTTAACAAATCAGATTTTGGATAAAGTTTCTATTCCAAGTTTCTTAAGGTGGGCGATACAGGTGGTTCTGCCAGCAGATCATCACTTAGAGGCTCAGTAATTAACAATAATGGCATGACTCCCACAGCCACTCTTTGTTCTTACCTAACTGGACTAACGCGGTATGTTGTTGATGGACTTAAAGAACCAAACTCACAGGGAGCTGTAGCCTCTTTGTTCGCAGACCTATTTACAGCTCAGATAATCTATTCTTACACATCAAACCCTTCGCTCCATGCCAGGAGACAAGTTCGGGAAAAGGACAAAGCATTATCTCAGTCGGACATCAATTTTGTGGTGACCTGAGAAAGGGTTGTTTGCCACTGACCTGCTGAGTGGAATTAGGTTTCCCAAAACTGGGATGAGCCAGTGGAAGCGTGCGTGTCGAACCATGAGATTTGAAGGTAAAACAGTGGTAACAATTAAAAGGCAAGCAGTCAATGGACAACATCCATAATAGTATGTTCCAAGTTCTGCAGTTATTCAAAGGATGTCTCAACTTTATCGGTCACTTGGTTGGAGAAAACTACATTTAGTGGTTCATATGTATTCAGTTGATCGAAATCATCAAATGTAACGATTAGAAAAATGTGTACAGATAGAGACACTATGAATGTGTGATGATTGATTTATTGACACTTTTTGAAGCCCAACCAGCTATCAAGAGGTTGAATTGTGTTGTGCTCTTTTTGACATAAATGAACTGGAACAATGGTGATATTGATTTGTTTAACTTAGTGCACATCCAGTTTCTGTGCTCCCATGTGTTTGGGAAATTAGCTTTAGCAGATTCAAATTCCCTCGCCATTGTTTGCTTTACCTTGTGCCGACCACCAGTATTGGAAAGTTAGCATCCCTATACTCTAAACCAAGACAAACAAAAATATACTTGTCAAACACCCGCATGTGATGTTAGCATACTGAACTTCACCAGTTAGCTCCAAAGAGCTAGGTGCTGACATCTTATGCCAGTGAAATCAGAGATATCAGCAGGCGTCACACTTAATGCAGGCCATAACACCTTTTTAATCAGCAGTAAAAAAAAAATAAAAAAAAAAGAATAACCAAAGATGTCTCAAGTTGGTCAAGTAATTATAATCACAAATTAATTGGTTAGAAAAAATATATTTAATTTGGCATAATTTGTTAAATGTGTCAGAGTTCGTTTCATTTCCATTCAATGCCCTATGTCTGCTTAGTTAATCCAGTGCACACTGTGCCTTAGCAGCCTCATTTGACCTTAATGATGGTGTTCTTTCCCAATAGACAGATAAACAGCACAACAACCCTCCCAAAGCAGGTCCAAAACATACCATTTATACCATGCTAGTTCATGAGAAACTGAGTAGATGAAGAGTATTTACCATTTTTATGTAAAGCCAGTGGTCATCACAAAAAAAGGCCTATATTAGACAATAAGTGTCCCATCTTTTATCATGTTGGAGGCAGGATTTTGGACCTAAACTCCAGCCAATCAGATGGGGTATCTCCAACATTTAGCTCCACGTGCAGGGAGATGTCATATTGTCTATTGTCTTTTCTTCACCATTCTTATTAATGATCCCAGAACCAAGTTGTTGTTTTTTTTTTTTTTGCTTTGATACATTCCTATGGGATTCTTTTTATGCAGAAAACAGCTTCATTTCCATTGTCGTTATTACATTGCATTATTGATACTGTGTCCTTATATCGGGGATGGATAAGGTTATTGTTGGCTGCTCTTACTGAAGATAATTCATCTCTTCCAGCGAGGGAGACGCTATCCCAACAGCCACCTCATTATGACTTTTCCCTTGAGCTGAGGACCCCCGGGCCAGGAAGGATATTAAAGCTAAAAGAAAGATGCTGAAGTGGCGAAAGAGACTAAACATCAACACTAAAACATTTGAATGAACCCATGTGGCAGATTCAAATAGGTTCTGGTGGTTCTAACCTCAAAGGACTGGATAAAGCTATTAAAGGAAGCACTGAAGTCAGAATCTGTTTAAATGAACACTTATGCACAGTGCCAAACCTGAGCGCTCTTCCCATTAATCATTTAGAATTTTTACCCTCCAAACGGACAGAAAATCAGGAAAAAGAGCAAACATTCAGCAAGTGTCTTTGACCATGTCCAATGCTAGAAATTACATTATGTATACTATACACAGCTTCAAAGTGCATATTTTGTGATTTATAAACTAGTACTCCCAAGGACAGTAAGGAACGACTGGTCACAACCTCCAAGTCTTACACGGTTTTGAGTGGGCTGCAGTCAGCTGCCATCCATTTCACCAGAGCTTAGGTCAACTGTTTCATTCACAGATCTGTGGCAACACTCCAAAAAAGTGTCCTGCCGACTTTTGTGACGCACTTGCTCTCTGATTAACGGCAACCGTTGTGCTGAACTGTTGGTGGAAGCTCAAACCCAAAGTACTTGATTGATTTCCATTTGATGTGATGAACATTTTTTTTTTTTGACTTGTCACCTGAGCTATCTGGGAGGGGGTTTAAGAGTGAAATGAGTCATTAAGAAGTGGTGTTAGTATTTTCATCACAGCAGCAAGTGAGAGTGGGAAAAAAATCTGTCTGCTGACCTAAGATCTTTCAAAAAAGACAAAATAAAGAGAATAAATAAGAGCTAATGTTCAGTCTTAAACACAGTGTTTAACCTTAATGCTGACCGATTTATAGTATAGATAGTATAGTTCATGTAATTATTGTCATGATGTAGCTGTCGATTACACAGAGTACATGTTTAAAAAGAATGAGCTGTAATTATGCCAGACAACTTTGTAAATGTGTGACCCAAGAAGTGAAAATCAACGTTCTTGCTTGATGTTTACATGCTTTGTTGATGTAATCATTTTTAATTTCTATGACTCTCTAAGAACCAGCCACTGTCACAACCCATTTAACCTTCCTTTTGTTTAGACTGACTTCTTTGTCACAGCGTGACCTCTCCTGTAATCCTTTTTAGACACACCACTTGCAGACTGCCAATTACGTAACAACTGTAAGGATTTGTTATAAGGGCTGACCAGGCTTTCTGAGATCAGATAGCTGAGGGCGAACTGAAGAGTCCACTAACTAGGACAGTCCCACTGTCTGTGGGTTTCCCTATGCTGGGAATCCAGGAAGAGGAACTAGAGTTAAAAAGTTGGGTACAATCTGGTCTTGACTAATTCCTGAATTTCCAGGATCATAAAATTCCCCCAAGATGGTTTTTAAACTCACAAGACTGACTCCTGGATACATCAGGCTGCTGCACGTGAGTAAGAGCTTGAGTGGTATGTTGTATAGAACCTCTGTGAATATATTAGCCAAGAATGCTTTTGTGTCATTTAGGGGCTGAACCCACCAATGAAACTTCGTGTGCCAACCTTTCACTTTTTTTATTTTTCTGAAACACCAAAACTGTAGGGAACAAGAAGTGCTGATTCATTAGAGCTCGCTAGCCTGTGTTGTTAAAAAACAGAGTGTATCCACTCTATTGCTATTTTCGGCATCAAGAAAATCGTTCTGATTGATGACCTTTAAAACTACAAACCCTGGTAGCTCTCTTAGTGTCTGCAATTTGAAGTCCAGATCAGGAAGTGCTTGACATTCTCAGTCTCTGCAGACCACAGAAATAGGTTACAGATGAAATAACTTTGACAGTTGTGAAAGCAGCCATTGATTCAATGGGATATTTGCAAGGTTGTGGTTTTACTGACATGGACCGAAGTTAATAGACAGAGACAATGCATACAGTAAGTTGGTTTCACTTGGCTGTTTTATGCTTTCATTATGCAGCTCTATTTTCAGTCAAGAGTTACAGAGAGTTGTGACAAAATGATGAAATATGGCTCTTTTATTTCTTTAAAGCTATCTGCAAATATGAGTTGGTTCATGCCCCTTCTCCAACAACTGGATGCCTTTTGTTTTACCTCACAAAGCACAATCACTTTTGTCATAGGTGTTTACCACAGACAGTTAAGAAATCCACGCCTGTGAAAGTCCATTGCATAGTAATTGGAAATGGGAACTGGGTGATTGAGCTACAGGAATGGCTTCTTAACTGTCTGTGACACAGCTCCATTAGAAATGATGAGGTTTCTATTATTTACTCCCTTGCTTTTTATAATAAGCAAGAGCCCGCTGAGGAAATTGCCCATGTCACAAAATAGACAAGCATTTTGTTTGTCAAAAGAGATGCACAGCTATTCGGTAAATGAGAGGAGATGAGTTTTTAATCTCTCTGGAATTGGTGGGAGGAATAAATGGGAAAAGGGGCACAGTGAGCATCTTACGGCTCATTCATTTGATGTTTGCTAAAAGGGTTGCGAAACCCTAAACTTTATCCCCATCCATGCATATTTTTGTGCATAGAATTATAACTCTTTGGGAATCATTTGATTTCAAGACCCTGCAGTTTACATGACTTTAACACTTCTTATGTACCTTTTTCTTCTCTCAGACCCAGGCCTATCATAATGTGGTCATGACACCTCCAGCAGAGAAGACCATGCCTGGTATGGCCATGCTCCTGGGGGCTGTGGGGATCGGGATGTGCGGCTACAGCTCCAGACAGTTAGCCCTCCACCACCGGCCCTCTGCTCGTGTCTTGCAGTTGGTTGGCACTCACACTGATGCCAGCACAGTGGGCACAGCAGCTCCTAGAACCCACATCCAGGATGTTCCTCGTCGGGCTAGCACCCACCAGGAGATCCCATCTCCCTCCTTTGTGGGCAAGAAAGTTTCAGTGAAATAGTCTGATGGTGGAGTTATGTATTTGTTGACATCATGGGTTGAGTTTGAGTAACTACACTTACACAGATCCAAGATTGTAGCTATGCTGGCCCACGGTTCAAGTGTGGCCCATGTGCTCTTTTGAGTCGTGCAAGTGTAGATATTTAACTGACCTCAACCGTTGTTGTCAATAAGTTGGATGTTTTGTAGAAATAAGGATTTCTGTGGTTAGTGAAACTTCAAAGGAGATCAAATGCCACTGGTTTGTTAAAACTAGTCTCCAATATTGGTGTCTGCAAAGCACAGAGAGGGCACTAAGCAATGTGAGTGATTGGATGAGTATGTAATGATGCAGGAACTGCCCAAAGACTGTAGCTGAATGTTGCTTGAAGGAGCTAACACGTTTAATTTGGAGACATTGTGTGTCTTTTTGAGACATGGCGTAAAAAGGATTTGACGCTTGGCAGTGCCCCTCTGTACACAGATGGTTGGCAGCTCTCTCTATCTCTCTGTCCCACCGCTTCTACTTCCTCCTCCTTAGGCAAGCAGCCATTCTCAAGTGCTTGAACAGCCCATCCTTGCTCATGACTTCAATTGATTTTCCTCTGGGGAGCCGCAGGTGCCATTTATCAACAAGCCGTGGCATTTGCTGGCACAGTATGGCACTGACTGTCAATCATGTTAACAGTTACCGTGACTGACTACACAGGTTGGCTTTCTGTCAGTATCTCTTGCTCTCTATGTTGAAATGACTTATGATCTGTGAGGGCTTAGTTGGGGTGGCAAAGAAGCAGGATAGGTTTGAGGAATTGCACATTTTTTTTGTACAGAAAAAAACAAGTACACTTTCTTCCTGAACTGTGTCATAAAAACACTTAAACACATACTCCTCATCAGATTTACAAGTCTAAATTTACCTGGCTGAGGCACAGCGGGAGTCAGGGCGGCAGAGGTAAAATGTCAATTCCTCGTGGATAAGCCTGTGTCCTCTGCAGAGATTATCCCAGGTGGGAAATCACTCCTGGCAAACAGTCTCATACTCCTAATCTGGTATTAGAGACAAAGACCCGTGAGTTACTAAGTCCCTGTGCATCCTAACTTTGCACCGTTCCCCCTGTGGTGTCCACCATTTGTCCCAATGTCATAGATAGATTAAGAAATAATGGGATTGGTGTTTCCATCTGGATAAACACCAAAGATGTGGCCATGAAAAGGGACTTGGGAAATGGCGAGATGCTAAGTGTGGTTGAGAATGCGTGCTGTGCCTTGCGGATAGCACAGGCTGATATATCTTTCTTTTAACTGCCTCATATTTGGACTTCGTATCTAAGAAAGTGAGGAATTTGTGTTTCAGTCACAAGACAATATTGAGCCACTAAAAAGGAGGATTATCTGCAAACAGGGGACTGAAGGTGAAAAGGTTTTGCTTTTTTCAGTTTTGGGAAAAGTTGAGAAAAAGAGGGTGGTGAGAAAGTTCTATGTTTCATCACTTAGAGGTCAGCCAGACCTTGTAATCCATTTTTTTCATTGCTGATGAGCTGTCTCCATCTGTCTGCCAAATTGGATCGTTGTCTGGTTGTAGCAGGTTGCAAGTTTTTAAAGCCTCAATAGTGCCCACCCCAGAATATTGGGACAGTAGGTCACCAACAAAATGATCGTAATCCACTCAGCAGAGGCGGTTAATGGCTCCAGCTGGCATCACATTCAGAACAATTGGTCACCCCTCTCTGGCCAGAGACTGACACCCATAAACAATCTTGTGGCAGTGATGGGCTCAGGAACAAGAGGTGCTTGCATGCTCTGTGTGATGGAGGGAAAACACAGGATAAATTTGGGTTTTTAATGTTCCAGTGTAGACACATGCTTGAGTCAACACTGGCTTTGAAATCAAATACTAAGTACCCATCATGCTGGTACAGAACCATGTCTTATAATTACAGACACTGCACTTCCATGAGTGTGAAATCGATGTGGGTGGAGGGCTAGAGGTTTTGTAACACACCTGGCTGGTTTTGATAGATTCTCTCCATACTGCAGCAGCGCACAGTGAGTACAAAGCACTGTGGAAAACATTGATCTCAATCAGAGAGTGAGGGAGAGCTTGTCTCTTCACTGCAGAGAACTTACTGTTCTGAGTGTGGTACAATTTTAGAGTCGAGAACTGCCAAGACAGCACTGACAGAGAGGAAACATCAGAAAACATGTTAACTCTTGGAATAAAATCCTGGAAAAAACTCTGAAGAGCTCAGTATTCATCTGTTAGCTTCTTGTGTTAGTCCCACATTACTGTAAAAGTCTACAAACATGAGTTCAGCTGTGTCTATTTAATGAGAGATTTGTTCTGTTAGCAGTGTAATTGACCATTAATGAATAGATGTTGGAAGAGATTAATGGAATAAAAGCATCTGGAAAACACGCTCTCTACTGTTGCTCTCAGTTACACAATTGGGTCTGTTCTTTTTGTACAGCTTTGTGGCATGACATTGTTTTCTGTACCAAAAAGTGAATGTTTTTAGTAAAAATAATAAAAATAAAAACATGTTTTTTACTGTACATGGACTTCAAGAGATTAAAAACTGATTTTGCAACCTTTTAACAGTTGAATCAGTCAATCAAGTACAGATACAAACTCAAATAGCCTGTAGTATGATTTCCCATAATGTGTCATCTTAGCCCGTTGTAAAAGATCCTATTCATTCATCGTAAACTCAGTGATTACAAGCTATATTTAACACCTATAACCCCAGAGATAGTGGTTTGGAGGACATGGTGGGGCTGTTAAATTATACAGGATCTAATCTGTCATTTTACTTGAGCATTATTGCCTTGTGTAAATTGTGCTGGATTAAAAAATGGAGAAACCCTTGACATAGCAGGAGGATTTTTTTGTTTTAATTTGTCAATAATTGGTATTCAAGAGTCCCTATACACCCTCTAGCTTTTCAAACTTAACTCTTGTTCTTGAAACTTGCAAGAATCAACGATATCTATTTTCTTGGATTATATGAATCAACAATCAACATCGGTAAAAATAGAATATGACAAAAACATTGTATGGACTCTGAGAGTATGTGCTTTTAGATAAGTACAGACCCTTTTGTTGTATTTAATAGCCATTAACATAATTACATGTTGTGACCTGCACGAAAATCACAGTTTTTAGAGGTTATATTATCTAATATAGGTTACACTGAAATAGCCCAGCACAGACACTGACATAGGCATCAAAATAAAACAATAAGCTAGTCACAGTGAATGGCCAGACAACGTAACATACACATACCATGCTATCACCCATAGTAATGAGATAGTAGTTTTTCCGCTGTTGAAGATTAATATCGGGCTGTTAAAAGCCTTTATTTAAGGATAGGACTGTGGGTGTGTAGGGAGGAAAAGGGAATTGGGAAAAGGAATGGGAATTGACATTAAGGATGTATTTGACTGTCAAGTAGGATGACTTTTTGTTTGAAAACACTTATTAAGGACACGACAATTTTGCTTTACCACAGGGGTTGCCAAAACTGACATGAGCCTTTGGTTTCTCACAGGAGCTTTAAGTAGCAAATGTGTCTCAGGCCTGGACCATAGGAAGTTAAGTTTACTTCCAATTTTTTTTTTCTGTCCATCTAATGTAAAGCTTAGGTTTTAGAACGGCACTCAAAGTTCGTGTGTTTATGACCACACCAACAAATAGTGGATATGATGTTGAATGAAATTAGTAAAATTTATGAGAAAAAAAATCAAATTTGTATTAAGTGCATATTTCCCAGTATGCAGGTGTGCAGAGCCGGCCCAAGGCATAAGCGAACTAAGCGCCTGCTTGGGGGGGGGCCCACGGCAATAGGGGCCCCCAAGAGCAATCAAAAAAAAAAAACCCAAAAAAACACATTTTCTATTTTTTGCATGTATGAGTGATGCTATCTGTATGATTAAATATATATTATAGTAAAAATAAAATTACAGTAAAAACATTTTACTGCTGATGTAGGCCTGTGATTCTTACTGTTGATATGTCAAAGCTGTTCTGCTGTCCAATGTGCACTGAGCATCCAAAGCACAGGTAGTTGTTAGGCAAAACAATATCGCAAAAAACGACAAATCCTTCAGGAGCAGAGAAAAGAAAGAGGAAGAAGAGAAAAAAAACGCCGATAAAGGTATGTTTGCATGTCAGGGAATGTTACTCAAAGAGATTTGTGTAGGTACGTGAATGATCAACAAGCAATATTATTGGCAGAAATAGAGGGCCCCAAAATCAAACTTTAAACAGAGCTTTGAAGGTGAACTGATCCAACACTGAATAACATTTTGTCTCTTGAAGGGGGTGGGGGTAGGCTGGATCTTCTCACATGGTGAGTCCATGGGGTCATCTGAGAGATTTCTGTTCAATAAAAAGTCGATAAGTAAGTGAGGATGGGCCAGCACACATTCCGGAGGAAAAAGACTCCCCAGCAGAATAACTGCGCCCTCCAGTGGACATATCTACCGCCCCCCTTTTCCAATGCAGACGGATACTATTGGCTGAATCTACGGTCTCAGGCTCTCCAGACCCATATTATTGGTTGGATTCCCAAAGTTTATCAATCAATCAATCATACAATCAAACGACAAACGTGTAGTTTTCAGCCTTTTGTTTGTATCACATACTGTCTGAAAACAGATGCTGCCACTTTTTGAGAAACTTACCATGTAGGGATGATTGAATTGACTGTGTGCTTGAAGGACCAGTTGAAGTCGTCCATGTGCGGTCTCCTCTCCTCTCGGTGCACACAGCTGGGCAGATCCCTCTGCTCTGCTGAAAAGCGCTGAAACAAGCAAAGCGCGGAGAAGGAGTGCTCAACAAACTCCGAGGAAAGGGAGCGTGGATTTATTACTCTAGTGGAAGGGTGCGTGTCCACTTGATATTGATATACAAAGTTTGTTGAAGTGTGTTAATGTCCTGGACGGGAAGTGATGGTAGTGTTCAGTGCATGTTTTAAACTTTGATGCACGCTTCAATTTCAGCTATTGTGCAATTGTTTGGATCGCGCACTCGTCTGTTCCGTTATAGGAACACAGAATTCGGTTTTTACGTGAAATTTCGTTTGTCAATTTAGACTAATTGTGTGGAGTTAGAAGAGCAGGGTAACCTGGCATGGTACAGTTTTGTCACGTGGTCGTTGTAGTAGTAACTCGAGTATTTTCGCGGTTAAACTAATCGTATTAACGCGTAAAGATTCAAATACGTGCGTCGCAAGCTTCCCGTAACCACCCTCAGTGAGACTCCGGGTTTGCAGGGAAGCAAGTTTCTGTCCAGCGCTGGAGTCACCGGATTCTTTCTCAGCTGGGTAACAGTGCAAAAGTGCATGACTTCATCCATCGTTTTATTTTTGTGTGTGTGCATGTGTGTAGGTCACCTCCACATTGTCACCCTGATCTGAGCTGAGTCAAACAGCAACAAGCACCTGCAGGGCCCCATCAGTGGCCCAAACCCCACTCCTGCAGTATGGGCAATTTTATCGGCAAGAACGGCCAGAGACCCACAGGTAGGTCTGCACATACACATCCATGAGGCTGCAGTTTGTTTTTTAAGCCACTGCTTGCTTGTCTTGATCTTGTCCCTCAGGACCCATCATGTCTGCTTTTGAAATGGTTTTCCAATGCGTTTAGCTGTACACACAGAGGTATGAAAGTGTGTGTGTATTTGTGTGTGGGGTGGCTTTATGGCTTGATAGTGGGGTTGCCTAATTGTGGAATTTTCAAAGTTGGAAACTTTCCATGGGAATTAATGAGAATGAAACTGAAACTTACGAAATTTAAGGTTGGCCCTCAACAGGGAACTGAAATATAGTTGGGGAAAATATATTGTTGGCTAAAACAACCAGATTTATTGCAAGTACACTCCTTCATCACATGCACACAGCACATTGCAGGGCTATTGAGGCCACACCCCCTACATGCACTATGCATTCCTCCATCACATGCACAGATGATTTCTTGAACCCTGGAGGCCACACTTTTGAGCCCAGAGCACAAGAAATTTAAGCCCATAGACTATATAAAGTCAAGTAATTCTGATAATATTATGGAGTAAATATATTTGATCTATAATAGTATTCATGTTAACTTGCAAAAAAGGTGCTAAATGTAAGGTATCTTTCAATTCATTGACCATTTAAGGGGCTAGCTTATTATGGTGGTGGTAGCTACCTCAAATGTGATGCTGTTTCTTCTGACTCCTGCAAGATGGTTTTCTGTAACCATATATTAATTTATACATCAATTGTCAATTATTTTGAAGACCATTCCAATTGTTTAGCCAACTATATTTCTATTCATGCCATTGCATGAATGTTTTTACAAGCTTTTTTGTTATTTTAGTCTACAGATTTTTTGCCATGTTTGCCATCTGATGTGTGGAAGCATTTCACACAAGCTAATGTCTGCTTATGACAAAACAAAAATATTAACATTTATGTTTAGATATGATGCAGTTTGTTTAAATTACATCCAATTAACCTCCAGTTAATTTCCATAAATTCCCAATAATTCCCATAAATTCCCATGGAAAGTTTCCAATTTGGAATATATTCAAAATTCCCCAGCTTAACTTCCCATGGAAAGTTTCTGGAAATTTACGAAAAATTTTCCGCCCCTTTGCAACCCTATTTGATAGTAAGGCACCTTCAAGTTGTGAGACATATAGTGCCAGGAAGGTTGTGTAGGTGGAAAAGGAGAAGAACTGTGCAAGAGCTTGGATGCTGAAGACTAAAAGGGAGGTGGATAAGAAGCAATCAGGAAATTGAAGGCATCAAAAGGAGAAGCATGCATACAGTTTGTGTGTGTGTTTGTGTCTGTATGTGTGTGGCAGCAGGAATCTTGGCAGCCCTCCTGCATGTTGCTCAGTGAGTGGTCATTCTCCTCGTGTCCCCCCTGTGATTCGCTCTGGCCTCGCTGTAACAGCTGTGATGAATCGGCAGAATTCCCTGGATCAGCACAAGGGCAGTGGATTAATCATAGAGGGCCTAATGCTATCTGACACACACAGACCTCAGAGAGCACACACACACACACACACACACTCTCATTCAGTCAGGCTGCCAGCCATACACACGGTCGGACGAGCACATTAAGATTTGGAATGAAGAAATAAAAAGCAGGGCTGGCATGAGAAAGTTACTAGACAATCCTGTCATTCTTTCTCAATGAATCCACCACACAGCAGGTGGTGCTTAGCTTTGAGAATGCTCAACCTCTACTCTTGTATCACTCTTAAAAAAATACAATTTATAATTCTATTTATCATAATTTATAATAGCAGTGACTCTTTTATTTAAACAAGGACAGAGGGGATGAAATGGAGACAGAGACAGAGCGAAGACGTACAAATAATTCCTTTTTTTTGTCTGAGTGTGTGTATGTGTGTGAAGTTTGCATCTCTACTTGGAGCCAACTACTAAAATCTGATCTATGTACCGGAACATTTGTTCTCTGTGTATGTCTGTGTTTCTGAATGGAGAGAATGATTGTTTCAACAACATTGTGGCTGAGAAGCACATGAGGAATGTCTATTAAAGCATTCATCTTCAGCTGCCAGGCCTGGGTGTTTCTGTTTTAATGAGAGCCGTGCTGCTCTGGTCACCTCAATGAATGGTGCTGTTAATGTCAACATGCCTGAACCAGTGACCATTGAAAGTCTTTCTTATACAGGTCCGCCCTATTCCTTTCTGTTTCGCCTCAATCAATTGTAGCTTTAACATAATTAGGTCTCCCTGTACTCTCTTTAAAAATAGACCACAAACATATCAAGCAGCTGAAATTTTATATCAAGCCAGAAACAGTTTTAAAGAACTGAAAATCAATTGTGCCTCAAGGTTATCAATTCTGCTTACCAGTCTTGCTGATGTACCAATAAATTTAGAGTGGAGCGAAGGACATAGATGCTGCAGTAAAATCTGTTTAGAAATCTGCAGGAGAAGAAAACAGTTAGCTAATAAACAAAGTGAATTAAAGAGACAGAGGGGGTATACCTGAGTACTCTGTAAAAACATGCTGAGAGTGTGTCAACTGGGGATGACAAATGAAAGTGTCAAAAGACCAAAATCTAGTCAAGGATGCAGATAACACAAGTGTGATGTGTCTTAAATGAGTCTTGAGGACTATTAACCATTTGTAGTTTCTCCTTTTTATTTTTGAATTCCTTTTAGGGGCTCATGGGGCGAGTTTCCACACCCCTCCTGATTCTCCACTAAGTGAAGAGCCTCCCTCCATACCTGATGTCACCCAACTTATTCCTGCCACCCCATCCCAACCCTCTCCTGCAGTCCTAATAGCATCACCATCTCCGGGCCCTAGCCTCACACCCAGCTCGAAGAAACCGGAGTCCAGCACCACCCCTATGACTCCCCGTCCTCGTCCTGAATGGAGGCCTTACCCACCACTCAGCTCACATAGCACCACCATTGGCGGTTCTGGAGTTAACTCACAGCATAACAATCCAGGAACTACTGCTTTCAAAAGACAAACTTCTTTTGGCAGGAATGGGGGATCTCTTACCTCCACTCCTCTGTCTACAGTCTCTCAGGGGAAGACTATGACTGTCAGCCCCACAAGGACTCCCTCCTCTGCATGTAGTGCCTCGCCTGTGGTGGGGAACTCTTCAGGGAGAAACTGGAGGGAAAGGGACAGTGGTCTGAGTGAATTTTCACTGCCTTCTCATGAAGGATCAGACAGCCGGAAGGACGAAGTGGAAAGACTTCTGGAGGAGTGTAGGACAACTCTGGGTATCACTGCTGGTGAAGACGGGGCCACGAATCCAACAGGTAAGCTTCCTATTGGTATTAAAGAGTTTTATACTTTAATACGTTATAGTTAGGCCGACAGCGTTTTAATTTAGGCAGTAAAACGTGTCTTGTCACCATGAGCCTAAAATTTTGTTGTTTCGATGGGGCGTAATCTTATTTCCCTGACGTTTTTTTAACATATCTGATATGGATGTGTTATGCTCTGGCATTTCTGTTTCTCTCCCTTAGAGATACTGAAACAACTTCTGACAGAAGTGAAGAACCTGAGGAGTACATTACAGGTAAGATTTTCCAAAGCGCTTTAAATATTTATATTTCTAAATGTGACTTTTTAACTGCTTGTGTGCTTCTTGTTATACTAAGGACAACTGCTGAAATACAAAACCCTTCCCTAAAACATTCTAGTCCAGTCATACTGATGGATGATTCAAAACTAATCATGATAGTACCAGAAGTTTAGAAATCTTTTATTGAAGTTGGGCAAAGTTTGGAAGTAAGAAATAAGTTAGTAAGCAAAAGTTGTTGTTTTTTAACCTCCTTTAGTTAACTTTTTTTAAACTTAATATTTGGTACTCATGGCTAATACTGGTGATACTTGTTTGGAAAAGGCATTTCCTTGTGCATTACTCCTTATGTGCTTTTATTTTGCATTATGAGCTACTTCCTGGAAGTTACAGGTCTGAATGAAATGGTTACAATAATAGTAAGAAAGTACAAGGTTGATAAGTAAATCAAAGAAGAACAGGCGTTAACGTTTTTTGGACTCGCTGTGAGTCTTTGAATATCAGTTTTGTTAGTGGTCAAATCCTTACTCAGAGAGCTGCTACAAGCTTGCTTGCTAGCAGCAGCTGCTGTGTCTTCTTTCCCTGTCCATTAAGGAAAGGACCACTGCCATGACCTTGCAATATTACTGTTTCCTTTTACAAGTGTGTTCCATTTATTTGCTTCCACAACGAGCTAGTTCTTCGTCGAGTCACATCTTTATAACAGGAGGTGAAGGTGCTTATAGTCTTCACTCTGAAAAACTGGGCCCTTTTCATTCAAAGACGTACCGAAAATCAGCACAAACCAAACAAAACTGCATTTAGTGTTTGTTTGGCATTTCTTCTCTAAGTACAGCTTCTTTCTGTTAGAGTTTTGATTTTGAGTTTCAAAGCCGTTTTAAATAGAAAGGTGGATAACTTTAGCAACATAAACAGGATCGTACACACTTCAGTAAGTCCGACTGGTCCTTTTGACCTTTCCATCAGAAGATAACACCAAAACACACCCTGCCCCTGCACCCCCAGCCCCACCCCTCAGAGACCTTGGAGTGGGCCTCACTTGGAGCTGCAGCTTTACTAATTAAGGTCTTCCTGTGCTCTGCTTCTTCTGAGGGGGCTGAAGGAGGAAAAATCACTGAGATCATCTTCTCTTGATGTTTCTTGTTGCTCATATATGTGGGGGTGGTTAGTCATAGATGAACCTCTCTGTTGCCCCAACTAAAAAGATAAGAAATGAAACATCATGGATGCCCAGTAAAGCTTCACACACATTTTTGTTTCTCTTCTTTTGACAATAAGGAAACAATGCTGGACTACTATTTAACTTTTGTCAGGTATACTATCAGGAAGAACTTGACAAAATCCTCTTCACTCGTCTTGTCTGGGTGTTTCATGCTCTTATGAAGATGGTGATATGCTGTGGTAATTTCCTGTCAGTTGGGCTTTCCAATTCCTGACCCTCCCTTATGAGGGTTGTAGCCAGAGGCTCCCAGTTTCCTCTAGATCTGCCACAGATTACAAGGGCTGGGACATGACACACAGCAAGCCTTACTCAATCCTGTTTTTTCCCTTTTTTTCTCTCTGTTGTGACTAATGTACAGACTATTACACTTTTATTATGAAGTGGAATTTAAATCACCTCGGTTATTATCACAAGCTTTTACGAACACCGGCGCTTGTGCACATGTAGTGTCACTTTTTTTCTCTACTTGATATTCGGTGCCTGCTCCCTCTTCCTTCTCTCTCTCTCTCTCTCCTACATTGTCCCTCATCCTTACAAGCAACGTGGAAATAAAACCCTTGTACAGGCCAGCTAAACTGCCCTGAGTCTGTGCTATAGCTCTGTGATACAGTTGTGTATTAGAAGTCAGGGCAATCCAGCAGAGTGTTTACATGGGCCCTCGGTAGAGCAATTTAAGCTAGCAAAGCTCAACTTTATGAACCCACTCTGTCTGCTCTGCTGTCCTGGGAGCTTTTTTTTTGTGGAGAGCCAGAACAGGGGAGTGCAGTGCGGAGGAGGGGGTTCACATTCGGCTGTTCAGGAGACAGAAGTTTTTTTGTTACGTGCTGTGTGACGAGGTGGGATGGAGGGGGCTGCAGCTCCCAGTCAGTAACTGGCTGTGTGTTTTTGTGTGTGTCCTGCACGTGAGACAAAACCCTCACAAACAAGTACTTTTACACTGGAAGTCTTGGCCTGTGTGATTTGTAGGAAGGCTGCTTTTTTTTGTTCCCTTGCTGTGCCTCTCTCTTTTCTTCCTTCCCTCATTCTGTCTCCATCACAGAGCTGACTATCCCCCCCTCCCCATCCCTTTTACAAGAACCCAAAACAATTACCCTCCAACTTTTTCTGCTCTCTATCTCATCCTCTTATCCTCTATCCCTCCTTCAGCCATCTTTTCATATGACCCCAACTTGCTTAAGCCTTTTTCTTCTGCTCTGACCTTTTGTTTCTTTGACCTCTTTTTTTTTCCACCTTATTTTAGAAGCCATCATTCTTCCAGACACATTGTTTCTGCTCTAAGCCTTTTCTCCGCACCACCTCATCCGTCTTCATCCAAATGCTCCTGTCTCTCCGTCTGCAACAATAATACCATATTTACAATGTGCTGCAGTGAAACTCCACTCTGAGAAAAAGACACATGATTACACAATGTGCAGTGAAGTACCAGGAATTTCATCCAATGTACCATCTGTCTGTGCTTATGCACACCACCGGCCCTCAAGTGTTTTAACCAACAAATATGAAAACACTCCATTCATGGTGAGGAAGTGGGTGTCTGTGGGGGTTGCTCAGTTTTTGTGTTCCCTTCTGGAGATTTAGTCAGTCATGAAGCTGCTTTGGAATCAGTTCCAGGTGAGCACTGCTGGAGCTTTCCAAGAATGATTTTTGAGGTTTCCTTTTTCTGTCTTTGCTGCTTGAAGAGCTAGAACTCCAAAACGGCCTTGCACCCCGAGGACAGGCTGTTAAAATTCAGATTTGTTTTAGTGACTTGTAATGGCTGGTGTGCATGCTGTGTCCAGACTTTACCTCCGTGTTGATGTCCTAGAATATTCAGAAGTGTCTAACAAGTTATCTTTATGTGCCAGACAGGGGGCATATGGCTGTTTGGTACCTGTTTGTGACTGCTATTGAAGGACTGAATGTCCCTTAATAGGTGTAACATTTATTCACACACTTTTGAATCGTCACTCCAGGCTGTGTAACGATGAAGAAAAAGCCATTTCTGAGTTGAGATGTTTCCCCAAGTATGTATTAGGAAAACTGGGTGTGTTGAGTTGAGCTAGGGACAGATGGTTGAAACACACACTCACACAAACTTGGACATTAGACAAAATTTCCTCTGGACTGGTGCTGGACCCTTTCCAGGAATGTCAGGGACTCAGATGTGCATCACTAGTGAAGACAAGTGTATCTGTGTGTGTTCCTGTGAATGCTGGATACCACATCTGGTCATGCAGTGGGGCACTGGGTCAGCTCTTGAGGGAGTACATGAGTGTGTGTGTGTCTTAAGACTGACAGCCCACACCCTTATCTCAGTGTGAAATGAGGAGCACCCCTTCCTGTTTCCTTAAACAGACATGCTCTAGTTGGAGAGTCTCTGTCTAGATAACAAAAGCTTTGTGATGACAAGATCCTTCAAATCCAAGTGTGTCTTATTATAGAAAGTCTTCAAAAAAGAGACTGTTACCCTGCAGTTTATTTGACAAATACTAGCAGCGTGGGAGCAATCCAACTCGAATGTAAAAGGAAGCTGAACAATGTGGTTTGGTGGTGAGGTAAGATAATAATGGGAGAGCATGAGTGGGAGTGAAGAATGAAATAGGATATATGTGTGTGTATGAGTCTGTGTGTGTGTGTGTGTGCATGAACTGTAATCAGGTCCAGCTGTGGTCTTGAGTCACTGGTCAAATAAGAGCGACTTGGCTCAGACACGTCCTCCTCCTCCTCCACATCTCTATCCATTCTTCATCCCATTACCCACCCTCCCACTTTGCTGCATTTCCTCACATAACTCTGCTTCTCATTGCTCAACAATTGAGACCAAATTTTGCAAGACTTTGACCACTTTTGTTGTCTTTTCAGTCTCTTAAGTTTATGGTTTCTCAACATTTTCAGTGATCTGGTAGAGTTATCAAAAGATTTCATTTTTTGATGTCTAGTGAGGTGTTTGTCTCTCACACTTTTTTTTTTTTACATCGTTGTTTCTAAAAGATAGGAGACTGAAAACTTGCCAAGGTAAGGTTTTCCTCTGACCATGCTGTTAGTTTCTAGGTAACCACCAAAAAGGATAAAAAAAATCTTTCGTCAATAGCGAAAGTTTTGACGACATAGAGGACCGTTTCACAATGCAACCCTGACCTTGTTCCAAAACAAATCTTGAATCATTTTTCTTCTATGTCCAAACTTGTGAGACATCTATTTTCTGTTATAAAAGGAACAGTTTCCCTTTCAGTTCACATGAAAAGACCTGCAGAAAGATTCAGAGGAAAACCTTTCACAATTCATTTATGCCTCATTAGATGAAGCTTGTCAGCTTGTCGTCTGTGTCTGCTGAGGCTTGTTGTGCAGTTCAGTTCGACTTATATTCTCCTTATGAGGGCCAAGTGTATAATACATTGTTTATTTGATAATTACTGGGGTACGCAAGGGGTTCAGGTGTGTTTGTTTTGGCATTTATGTTCTATTTGTTTTTTCAAATGCTAAACTTTGTTTTGTATTCTTCACACTGTAATTATGCTGGTCTAAGTGTTCATGCATGAGTCAGTTGTTTACACAGGGATAACAAAAGAGGCTGAATGTATTTATATGAGCCACATCAGCTGCTCAGGATGAACTGAAAAATGTTGGTGATCCAAGTACAAATAAAATGAATTTATATCTGTATTTGCTGAGCGTAATGGGCCCTGACATTTTCCATGTGGACCATTTTTATCCTTTTTAAAGCTTTTTCCGAGGAGTGCATTAAATCAGTCATACCCCTCTGAATTCATTCTGGGTTTGATCCTGACATTTGAAAAAGACAGATGAGGAAGCGAGATGAAAGATTTACATCCCTACACAGCTTTCTTATCAAATCAGACCCCACTGTTGTTGGACGGCTGTTAAATCTTTTATGTCTGGCTGATCAGGTATAAGCTCTTTGACTCTCTGATTCTCCTGCAAAGTTCTCTCAAATAGCAGTGTTTTTTTGGCTGACTTGGTTAACTGCACTCACTGTGAACCCTGCCTTAAACTTGTTCTCAGTGTCAGCAACTCGACACTTTGAATCTACAAACTGGTTGCAACTTATTCATGTCACTAGATATTAAATATTGGCTTTGATTTAAAGACAATCATTATCATTATATCCAAATCCCACCTTGCCATCCAGAGCTTAAACTGTCATGAAATGCCCTATTTTGATATTCTGCATGTGTTGCACTGTGCATTTCCTCCAAACTGTCTTGAAATTGAGATGATGTTTAGTTTTGTTGTGAAAATGTCAGTAATGTTAAGTAAGTACTCCTCACAAACATCTGTTTTTCTTCCCAGAAGGAGCGTAGAGAATGGTGGCAGTTTCAGGCTGACCTACAGGTGGCAGTGGTCGTGGCAGAGCGTTTCAGAGTGGAGGCAGAAGAGAAACTGACAGCACTCCGAGCGGTGCACCAAGATGTGGAAAGAGAGCTCACAGCTGCCCAGCAGAGACTGAAGGAGGCTGACACACAACTGGTCACCCTTAGAGGGGAGTTAAAGGAGGACAGACAGAGACTGACAAATCCCACACAGGGTCCAAGTCAGGAACCAGAGAGGCCAAATAGACCAATCAATGAACTGTCAAACAGCTCTGAAATTCAAGAAGGGATCCAGAGGGGCAGAGACAGGGAGATTTACAAACTGGGACGAGAAGAGATGGAGAATAGGAATCTGAATGAGTCGACAAAGAATGTTGTGAGTGAGGAGGTCAGACGAGACTGTAAGAGTGTGACCAGTGAATATCGGACTGGGGAAGAGGTGCAGTCCAGCGACGCACAAAGGAGCGTAACCAATGAGAGGTCAAGGTGAGTTAATGTTGCCTTTTTTTTTTCTTTGGTAATGCGAAAAGATAACCAAATTCAGTAAGGCCATTTATGATGCTTTCATCAACCAACAGACCTTTTACAGAGCTACTAAAGGATAGTTCTGATGTTTTATCATATTACTCCTTGAGTTAAATGAAAAGTGCTGTAAATAAATACAGCTGTTTCTCTCTCTCACATTGCTTGCAGAAGTCCTGCCAGATTACCTCCTCCCTCAGACCCCCCCACGATCCAAAATGGAACCTCCCAGACCAATACAGCCTCAACATTTGCACCAACAAACAAGGTGATATATTCTGAATTGCTGGATGATTATTCATTATGTGTACTTGGCTGCCTGAGCTGGCTTTATAGATGGGCATTTTAACAGGTGTCTCTTTCTGTCAATGCAGTTAGTTGGCATTAATAGGCTGTCTCACTGTGCATGATCAAATTGATTACTAAATTAATCCTTTTAGAAATAAGGTTTATTAGGCATGTAAGGCTATTGGAGCATATGTCCAATAGTGTTTCTATGGAATTCTGTGCACAGTGTGCAGTTAAATGGATTGGCAAATAATCTGCCCTGAGACTCGTGAGTGATATACTGAGTTGAGGAATCCTTTCAGCACTCATGTCTCAAAGTAATTTTTAATATGAGTTGGTGCCATAGAAATAGGAATTGATTTATTGTTGGCAAGAAATCACGAGTTTGTCGTTCAAGATTTTGCCTGTTTTTGTAAAATCAGTCTGGTTTGTCTAACAGAATGCTGGGCCACTAAGAGGCCGAAGAAGTCTGGGATGTCAGGACAGCAAATCAAATACTGACACAGGTGTGTTATGAAATAGAAATATGCGAACAGAGACCGTTAAAAAGTAAAAATGTGTTAACAATAAGATGATTTTAAACACTAAATTGTACTGCATGTTTACTACAAAATTTAAAAAAAACAGTTTCAACTAAATTTAATGTAAGCGTCTCTCAGCTTGTAGTTTAGCTACCTAGCCTTGAACTTTACTGTTGATATGTTAAATCATATTTTATAAGAGCTGTTCCTTAATGAGAACATTGTTTGAGTTCAGGCCCTGACAGTCAATTTAGTTCACTGAACCCAAAATATCTCCCTACAGGCTGTGAATGTGCATGAATTTTATGATCGGTACTTACGGGCAGATTTCTGCTATGTTAAGTGTGCTGTTTTGCTCAGCAAGAAAGAGCTAGGTAACTACAAATGTGCATAACCTCGGGGTTAGCATGTCTGAAAGCATTTTGTTATAACAGCTTCATTTATTATTGTTTCACTTTTCAGGAAAGCGTGAGGAATCTCTAAACAAGTATAACTCCAGCATCACAGAGCTGCTTCCCACCAAGTGAGTCCACACACATGCACACAGACCCACTCACACACACAGACCCACTGTATCCAAAAAGAAGAAGAACTTTCTTGATCCCTGAAGGGAAATTCAATTGTCTGTTGTCTCATGTAATATGTCTATAAAAGTTATCTATTATTTACATAAGAGCTATAAAGCCTGATGGCTGTTGGTACAAAATATTTTCTAAATCTTTCTGTCCTGCAGCGAAGAGAGAGGAGCCGTCCATAACCATTGGCCCTTTGGTCCATCAAGGTGTTGTGAAGTTGGTGATCCATGTTCTTGAGAATAGTCTCCACCTTCCTCAGTGTAGATCCACCTCTGCACCAGCAAGGCAACCACGATAACGCCTCCTGATGTCCTCTGGAATTGCATGTTGTTGTCCAGATTTGCTTTTCCTCAATGAAAGGAGCTCTTCTCTTGAGTAAACTCTCCGCCCTGCAGAAGTATCCATCAGCAGCTAACAAAATTACAACAAAAATATGAAAAAAATCTAGCATAAATTACAAAAATTACAGATAATACAGAGAGACTAGACTTGCAGTAACCTCTCGGTTCAAGCGCATCATTTGACGTTGCAGTTGCTTCAGCCTGTTATCTAAGTACACCCTTTGACCTGAGTGCATTTGTCTGGTGACCGCAGAGGTGACAAAATCACGTCTTGTACTTTGACCAATGTGTTAATTAAGTTTTCTCTCCAGTAACTGGGTCAGCTATGTGACAAGATTGTCCACAAACTTCTGCAGTGTTAAAACAGGAAACTGTGAGGTCCTCAGCAGTTTCTTTCTTGTTGTTGTCAGGTCCCAGGATGGTTTTAACATGCTGCTGCGTCGTCACGGAGGCTCGAAGAGAAACTCACTGCTCCACTGGTGTCAGAGCCGAACACAAGGCTACAAGGTTGGCCTGGCTGTGTTGTAATTTGTCTCTTAAGCTGTATATGGTGTGAGTGTGTGTGTTTTTTACAATCAGGATTAACTCCCAAATAAGGGAGCTAGTTTTTGAAAAGCAGCTGATGTTGTGAAAATGGCAAGTGAAGGAAAGCCTGCAGAACCAGCACCTTTTAACTTTTTTTTTTCTGGTGGATATATTGAACAGCTAAAAACATCCAGCTATTTGAAGATACTCCTTGTAAACTGTCGTAACAGCAAACACAATCTAGTTGTCTGATTTTTTTAATGGGATTTTTTTCAAGTTAAGCAGAAGTGAATACAAGAAATAAAACAATCTTCATATCAATACAATGTCTACATAAAGACACATTTTTTCAGTGACATTTTAATCAGCTGAGGATGTTAATTCTGGCATTATGATTTCATTAAAATCACCTTACAAAACTTAAATTGATAGCTGCAGACTAAAGATTATTACCCATTCAGAGCAGGTAGTTAATTACACAGGGTCTCAAGAAAGGTACCAGACACAAACACCTTTAGACAGTCTGTTAATCTGATCTGTGAGTGTCCTTCAGTCAGAACGGGGTCACTTTGTAAAGAACGTGGAGTAATTAAATCGTCAGTAATGTTGACAAAGTTTATTAAAAATGCTTTATAGGTTTAAGAAATCCTTTTAAGATAAGTCATCCACATTAGCTGTCATGGGTGTTGGTGAAACACTGACATGAACTGGGATGGCCTTAGTCATCAGGGATACTCAGCTAGCCCACATTAACACACAAGTAGGTGTTCAATAACATTAGATACTCCTAATCAAAGGGCAGTATTTCTATTTTCAAACATGTCTTAGAGTGATTCTTTTGTTTTGCTGGTAACCTTTGGAAAGACGTCTTTTATTTGTGTGTCACAGCAAACCACAACGGTTTGACTTGTTAAACAAGCTGCAAAATTAAATATACCAGAATTGATGGTAACTGGCTTTATTAAGATATGAAATGTTGTTATCGTGCTATAAATAAGCAAACTATTCCGAAAGTTTCTAGCTGAGGTCACCACATGCCCTTTCTCAATTTTATGACCTGCTTGCTTTGTGTTTTTTTATTTTTTATTTTTTTTCTTCATGCAGAATATAGACATCACCAACTTCAGCAGCAGCTGGGCCGATGGTCTGGCCTTCTGTGCTGTGTACCACACCTACCTCCCCTCTCACATCCCTTACAACACTCTGACGCCAGAGAATAAGGTAAAAGAAACTGCACCTGAAACCTCTTTTAAACACGGGGCAAAACCATCAGTTCAATTTTCCTACATTTTTAACAGAAGGAGAATCTCAGTCTGGCATTCAAGACAGGAGAAAGTGTTGGCATTACACCAACTCTGGTAAGCCTTTTTGTCTTCCTTTACACAAAAACAACAAACCATTTCACAGTGAAGCCTAAATCTGTATTTCTATGTCAGGTGAATTCATGTTAATGAACTTGTTTGTCTACAGACACCGAGGGAGATGCTGCGAGCAGGTGGTCCTGACTGGCAAAGGGTGCTGAGCTATGTGGAGAGCATCTACCGTCACTTTGAGATGTGACTGCTGGAGGTACAGACAGACGATCAGCAGTGCAATCCTCTGGACTCCTTAATAATGGACATAGTAAAAGATATTGGAAAGTAATTGTCCCTGAAAATATGCTATTAATAATAAGAAGTTGGTGAACTTCACAAAAAATATTTCAAATTGCCATGATGACTCAAAACCAAAAGAAATATTGACAGTTTAGTTTCAGTGTAAAAAGGTCTCTCTCCGTCTCTTCAAATGCGTCTGTGTAAATGTTTGCTAAAGCAAGATAAGTGGGAGGGTTGTTAGCTGTTTGTGTATTGAATATATTTTTTAAAAAGCATTTTAACTTGCTTTTTAACGTTTTAAAGGACACTGGAAAGACAGTTTTTATCTCTGGCCCGATCCCCACTCTCGGTCGTGGAGGGGAACGTTTTAGCAGGATCCTCAGCCTCCATACCTGGCTCCAATCCACATGCCCCACCCACAACTTCGGTTTTATTGACAATTTTAATCTATTTTGGGACCAAGCATCACTTTTCAGCCATGATGGGATCCACCCCAACAGGCGGGGTAGCCGAATGCTCTCTTGCAACATCCAGTATATGATCCACTCCTCACCCGTCTGACACCCGTCTCCTCACCCTCCAGTCCGCATCACATCCTCACGTCCTCCCCGTCCTCCTGCCAGACTTTGTCCCCCCACCAATCTCGTCCACATCCCCCTGCTTCCTCGGCTACCCCGCCCTGCTTTTAACAGCAAACCTGCAAACTTTGGACTTCTAAACATCAGATCCCTCAACAACAAAACATTTTTATGCCATGATTTTATTTCACAAAACAGTCTGGACTTTTTTATTCTGACTGAAACCTGGCTGACTCCGGACAATTGCAACACCAACTGATAGAATCAGTCAGTTTTTAATACAAAAAGTTTTGGCCAGTAACATTAATAATTAATATCAATCATTGACAGTTGTAGAAATGTATAACCTTTTGCAAAGTATCCCTTAAAGGGAATTGTACACATTTATAATAGTTACCAGTGTTCCCTCTATCTTACCTGTATTACTCACAAACCTCCCCTCCCCATCCACTACCTCAGAGAGACGTTCATAATTGACTGCGTTTGAGATGAGGGTTGCAACTCCCTTTTTTTGACTAGTCCCATCAGCTGACAAAAACACAAGTCTAAATCCCATCCTTTTCAGTTTGAGCTTGACTCATATGTGTCTCTTGAAGCAGAGTGAACTGTGCCCTCTCCCTTCTCAACTTAGTATCTTATTTCTTTTGATACTAACTAACTCCTTCTGTCTTTGACTGCACCCAACGCCATCCTCGCCTCGCGATGACTTGAATTGACTTAACTAAGTTTTATACTCTTTCGGGGCAAATATTTAATTTATATTGAGCGAGCTTTCCTTAAGCGGCTATCCTCTCCTGACCCGGAACCCCTTAAAGGAAATTGTATGTGGAGGTAGAGTGAATTATCTGTCTACAGCCAGGCATGTCCAAACTATTCCGCAAAGGGGCCGGTGTGGCTGCAGGTTTTTCTTCCAACCAATCAAGAGCATGCAGTCTGACCAATCAGCTGTCTGAAGACTGAGATCAGCTGATGAAATAAATCAAGTCTGGTGTGCTGCTGCTTGGTTGGAAGAAAAACCTGCAGGCACACTGGCCCCTTTGTGGAATAGTTTGGACATTCTGTCTTTCAAAAACCTGTGTGTGGCATCTTTAAATGTCACATTATTTTACTGCCATTAACTTTTTACTTTTTTCTTGCTGTATATATGCACTTTTGTCAGCACTTTTTTATGTGAAATTTGATACTGTACTGAACAGATGTTGCAAGAACTCAGAAGGAATTTAGTAGCAAACCGGTAGACAATATGCAAAGTTCAAAGAACTGTTTCTGAACAGTGTGTGACAAAGATCAAGACCTCAAGATCAGTTTTCATCACAAATGTCCTCAGTGATTCACACATAAATAAACCCTCATACTTCCAGGGTGTTGAGAAACTGAACTAGTTTTGTCTGACATGTTTTTAACCTGAGTTTATTGCCAAAGTCTGATGTGCCAAATGGTTTTGTGGAGATGCACTATTTTAAGTGTTAATTTGAAAAAAATGTGTAAGAAATAAACAGTATTGTCCAAAAAAACCTGTGTGGGTATTGTGTAACCCTAACCATAGGCAACTTTAAAAACATTTGTAAATCTAATAAAGGTATAAATAAAGCTTTATCTAAGAAAGGAATTTGTTGAGGAGCCTTGGGAGCAACAAAAATGAAAAGATGAGATTTCAGTGAGACAAATACGTCTGATACAGATAATCTGATACAGATAATTGAAGCAGTAATTGTAGGATCACACCCATGCCTTTGTGTATAATGTGTCTCACTTTTAGTCGATTTTCTGCTTTTCTAAAAAACTTGATTACTACTGAAGATCTTATCATTAGTTTAATGTCCTGTCTTTGTCACCTGAGGTCTGGACCTCTGATCTTCTAGAGAGGCTGCAATGTTTATCACTAATCCAAAAGCTCCTGCAAATGATAGGTGCTGTGTGTGTGTGAGTATTTCGGGGCATTTGGCAAAACAAACTGAATAAAAATAGAACATGAAATTCACAAGTTTGTTTGAAGCGGTGTACAATCACCCGAATAAGAAAGAATTGAGTTTTAATTTACTTAAAATTAGTGTAATGAAATTATATTATGAGCATGTCTTCTTATTCAAGATTAATATGAAGTTTTTTCTGTTATCAAAATGAGACAAACTCTAAATTACTCTCATCATCCTCAAAGCTGAGATCTCAGATTAAGACACCAAAACTGAGCTTAATTGAGGAGTTAGAATTAGTCAGGATTAGTGTGACCTGTCAGGGATTTTCTTTGGGTTGGAAGACGGTTGCTTTTCGGGAAGTGAATTGGTTTAGACTCTACTCCCCTCTGCTGGTGAAGAGAAGTAACTACAGAAATAAAATTGCACCTCAGTAAAGTTTTTAATGACTGCTTCAGGGTTAAAACATGGTCCCACAGTGTCAGCATAACTCCACCATGCAGCTATTTTGATACAAACTCTTGATTCTATAAACAGTGTTTAATTTTTTCAAACATTAATATACAGATTTAATATTTGAGCTGTTTTTGTTTGTTTGTTTCTGTGACTTAACACCATTTTCCTCCAACACAAGCTCTTAATGAAACTTAATTATCATGTTGTCCTGTAGTAGTAACATCATAAAAATGTCAAACCTGTTAACCACAGAACCAAACTGCCACAGCATGGTTCAGTTTTTCCAAGAAGGCCGCTTGAAGTGGTGAAATGATTAAGAACACAATGCAGATTCAAGTAACTGCGTCAGTATTCGGATAAATGCCAAGAATTAAACTCCCAGGTGCTTAAGTGTCACATTTTGCACACAGGCTTATGTTCTTTCTGACATTCAAGACGTGTTTTCTTTTCAGCGCAGATACAGTATCACCTGAACGTCGCCTCGTGCTCTGGATGGGACTGGTGATTGTTAAACCCTGAATGGATAGATGAGCCGATTTCCCCCTGGGCAAGGGTGTAAAGTGTGTGAACATCCCACCGACTCCACTTCATCTTTTGTGTGTGACAAAGAATAAATGTGTGATAATACGAGCAGGCATCCTGGTGTGTGAGGATGTTCTCGTAGGGCGTTAGGATGGGACGGGAGGTGGGGTTTTGTAGCTCCTGGGTCAGGTCACTTGTGGTTTACAAAGCGGCCGCCTTCGGTTTGTAGTCAGAATCAAAAGTTAACATCTAGAGAGCAGCATGGACTGGATCTGGGTTGTGGTTTGGGGTTTAGGGGCAGTTTTTTTGAGCGCTGTTCCTGGTTCCTCTCAGGATTCACCCAAGTAAGTGCCAAGGTCAATCATATTTATTCCCTGATATGTCTTTCCTGTCTAAATGCATATTTTCTCACAATCCAACCTGATTCACTCTTCAATCCTGAGCTACCTCTCTTGTCTCTACCAGGACACTTTTTCTAATCTCAGGTCCAGAGGTGTTGCATGCTGGGACATCGACCTCTATCGCCGTTACTGTCTTTGATGACTTCTCAGGCAGGGTCGTAGCTGAAGTGAAACATGGAATAACAAAAGTAGCCCAAACAGAGAACTTCCAAGGAGGTGACCAGTGCTACAGCTGAGGTTGATTTGCATTTTAACATGTAAAAATTTTTGGGAACTAAAGTATGATTCTGTTTTTTGAAGGTTTGACCAGGATGCTCACCCTCCCACCCGTGAGTATAGATCTCTTTTATTTCTAGATGTGATCTTTTTCATACTGATAGCACTAGATCAACATTTTACACCCTATTTAGCTTGATCTCTTTTTGTACACCTCTCCAGATTAGTGGATCTATCACCAACAGTTCCCACTTGAACTTAACAGTGAGGGGCTACACAGGGGACACTCTCATTTTCACGAACACCACCACCCTCATCTTCAGTCGCAGCAGCGTCTCCACCTTCATTCAGACAGACAAGCCGAGTTACCAGCCGGGCGATACTGTCAAAGTCAGAGTCATGTGTGTTCAGTCAGATAACCGTCCATACAAAGGCCGAGTGGATGTCTCTGTACAGGTGGATTTCTGTCTTCTGTATGTCAGGGGATTTGGACGGGCACTTGTGAGGTGGTGGGGAGTTTGATGTTCATTTGTCATTCGTAGGATCCCAGTGGGAATGATGCACAGAAATGGGAGTCCAAAGGGGACCTGGGGATTATCTTGGAGGAGTTTCATTTATCCCATGCAAGCCCACTTGGAGAGTGGGCTATCACAACTGCAGTGAATGTGAGAAAATGATTCAGAAACATCTTTACCTCTGTATTGCATGCTTTGAAAATAAGCCTTTGAATTGATTTATGAAAAAATACTTGCAAATTTATCTCTGATTCTCTTTCCTACAGGGTGTTACTGATAAGAGAGTATTCTGGGTGGAACATTATGGTAATATATCTATCACTTTGTCAGTCAGCCACACTTTAAAAGGACTCTATCTGTCTGCTTGTTCACTTCAACACTTCTGTGAATGTTAAAATATCTCATCTTTTAAAGGAGTGCCATGACATTTTTGCAGAAAAATTGGAGGACTAATCGTACTGACTTTGGTGATATGTTAATGTCCCTGCAAGGTTCATGTTCAGTTTAAATACATCTTTATGTTTTTTAATTTTTTTTTATATTACTGAATGGATTTCTATTGGTACAGATTTTTTTAGAAACCTGAAGGACACGTTTTCATTGCTTTGGGACCAGCTGTCTTTTTCTGCACTGCCATGTCCCACATCCAGATAGATTAAGGGTTTTGACAAAATGGACAAATCACCATTTGCCCTCATACTTTTCACATATTCTGTCATCTACATTTATTTGATTCAAATATGCCCACAAGTTCAGTAATTTTATCTGTCATTGGTCAGTATAAATAAATCATTTTATTTTGTCAAATGCAAAATAAGATAAGATAAAATTTAGTTAAAATAAAGTACTGAAAATAATGTGATGTTGGCAGTATATATCCATATGGGCCTAACTGAAAAATTGTAACTGGTTGACCACTAGTCCCATTTGTTTCCTGCACATCAAAATTCCAGCAAAACAATTCCATATTTGCAGATGCAGATGTTGACTTGCTAATGTCCTGATCTGCATCAGTCAGCATGATAAAGAAATCAACATAAAAGCATTTGCATTGTAAGGGTTTCCTGCTCAAGGTTTCTGACTGTTAAAAGGAAGGTTGTCTATGCCACTTTGACTTTTTTTAAGATGGGATAAGAGTGAGTCTGATCTCACAAGATGGAACTCAGTCTAAGCCTATCTTGATGTAAATTTAGTTGAAGACCCGCTCGTTTTGAGAAACAAAGATTTGTTGTGAATTGGCATTATTTAAATTAAGATTGATTGAATAGTTGATTGAGAACTACTGAGAGAGCACTGCTGAAGGCATTCATTTATATTTGCAAGTGAACACAACAGGACACATCACCATGATTTTATCGTTGCAGAACGTCCCTTTCAGGTGCTGCTTAAGACGCCACCACAGGTCCTCGTGGGGAAAAACATCTCAGGATCAGTGAGAGCACTGTGAGTTCGCTAACCGTTTGAAATAATTTGAATCACATTAACTCAAATTATCATAATACTTTTGTCTTCTGCCCCAAGTTATCCAGGTGGACAGCCTGTACAAGGGACACTGGCTGTTTCTCTGACTCTTGTATCTGGTTCACTGAAAGCAGACTCTCCCCTCATGCAAACACAAAATAAAGAGGTGAGTTCTCCTTCTTAATCCTGGTTGTTTTCCTCCAATAGAAAGAGCGTTTAGATTTGTAATATTAGCCGGCATGTACTTTTGAGAGTATAATCAATGAACAGCTTCATCAACTTGATTTTGATCATTGTTTTCCAGCTCTATGGGTCAACTCAATTTTCCTTTAGCAAAGATCTGCTGCAGACACTTTTTATCTCATTTGGATTCAACAGCGAAAGACGAGTGCGTGTTGTTGCCTCTGTCAAGGACAGCTCTACAGGTGATTATTTTAGCTAGTGATTTAAGTGTATATTTAAATTCCATCTTAAAAATGAATCTTACGAATTTTCCCTAAAGGCTACAAAGTGAACACAACAGCAGAGATCCACCTTATGAGGGACATGTTCCAGCTTTCATTCCAGGATTATCCACTTCGACTAAAACCATCTTTGCCATTCACTGCAGCAGTGAGTGCATGTTATTTTCTGCTTATTTAGCATCTATTTGACACTGTTCCTATACTGTGAGCTGACTTACATCACCTCTGCTCAACAGCTCAAGATCTCCAGATATGACAGGAAACCACTCAGTTTAGAGGATCTGAATCACTCTGTTCTGATTGATGCCACTCAGACAACATCCACCTTCAGTGGTGAATCTACAGTTCTTACACTTCCAGTATCGGAGGATGGGAATGTCCATATTAAGATTCAGTTACAGGATCAAGTAGAGGTACTTTTTATTCGGGTGAGTAGTTTGTTTCATATTACCTTTTTTTTTCTCTTAAAGCTCTGCTTGGCAGTTTCTTTGTTGTAAGATGAGTGGTTTCGATGCAGTAGTATTACACAAAAAAATGACCCTTCAGATATAGTTAACCTAAATAAATGTTAAGAACATCCAAAGTCTCAGATTTGACCCTGTGAGGTTCACTTCTCTTGATCCTTAACTAAAGAAAACACGTGAAGTGACAACAATCACTTAATGTTAACAATATTACCAATTGAGTCCTTCAGTTCTTTTAATTTTTTTGATCTTGTGTAATTTAAGGCAAGATTCCAATCCATTGAGGAGACTCTGAGGATTCGCAAAAGCTTCTCCCCTCCCCATGGCCCGTATATCCAGATCTCCCAGAAGAACATTTCACCTGCACAGGTGACTGATGTGAAACTGTAACATTTTTTTTGGTTAATGCAGAGAAGACAATCAATAATAAAGTAGAAATGTAATATAACACTGTCTTCCTTTCATGTTTAACTTTCAGATTGGTTTGCCTTTTCAAATGAACGTGGAGAGCAGCTGTCAGCCAAAGAAACTTCACTATGTGGTAAGTGGTGAAAAATGTTTTGTACAGTTTACATGAACTACAGTTAGATTGTTTTCTAGATGAATAGACTCAATAACAAGCTAGATGTTTATATTGATCACCATTATTGTCCAAGGTCAGGTGTTTGCTTTAATTTTGCTGAAAGGTCAGGTCTAGACTGTACTCTCTGTTGTGTTTTCTGAGGATATCCTTCAATCAAAACAATCTGATTGTCATTGAACTCAGTAGATGCTGCGATTAATCAGGGTCAGTCACAAATCTATTTGTATGGAAAAACATCAAGATTTACTCTCAAAACTTCACTGTCAAAATGATAAAAAAATACTTCATAACTCTCTCATTGAAATTAAAATGCTGCCAGCAGCAACCTGAATCCACCCCCACCACTCAGCCAAAACTACTTGAGCCCATCCAGCTCATCCTGCACACTGCTACCCATACAGAGGTGCCAATAACACAATATTGTGAGTTCAAACATACAACTGCTTGGAAAACTAGCTTGGTCCTTTGTTCAATTTTGGCTAAATGTTTCCAGAAATTTAACTTTTGGCACATAAGTGCGAGCTTACCATCACTGATTGAGAACTAAAAGACAACATGTGGCTTACCTTGTGCATCGGAAGTACCTGCTGTTCCAACGAGATGACGTGTTTTGGAGGTAATGAATATGCAGCATGGTGAGGAGACAGACACTTAAAGAAATCTGTTTTTCCTCCTAAAAAGAGACTGGTAGTCTGCAGTGAAGTCTTACTCATAGTCCAAAGAACAGAGGCAAAGAGGGGGACTACAGTCTCAATTTTCACAATCGTAGTTATGAAAATGTTAGAGTTGATGTTGATAATTATATTGTGTCTAAATTATTCTTAGTGGGAATAACATACCTCGAACTGTCGTTTAAATGTAAATAAACTGTGTTTCTTCAAATGTGTTCGATTTAACCAAAGGTGATGTCAGAAGTAATAGGCTTACAAGGAGCTTTGAATGAGTATGAATCTATAAAAGTTTAATTTTGACTTTTTATTTGATGGAACTGGTGGAACTCTGGACCCCCCTGGTATTTTATGAATTTTTTACATTTATTTGGTATCACTTTGTGAAATTTGTTAAACAAAGAGGACCGTCTAAAGCTAATGCATGTGGAATAGAATATTATTGCTACTTGTGCTAAAGTGTGAAAATAAATGGCTTTTGTTTTTACTCTCTTAGGTGTGCTCTAGAGGCCAGATTGTGGCGGCTGGCACAAAGAATTCCTCCTCTATTACTCTGACTCCGTCAGTGTCCTGGTCCCCTGAGGCCTTTGTCACTGTCTATTGCAGCTCCTCTAACAGAGAGGTCACCCGTGACACAGCACGCATACCCATAAACCAACACAACCATGTAATACAACTTGATTTTATTCATATTTACTTTGTCACCTGATTGTGTAATTTGCATATTTCTCTCTGACAAAATTGTGATCGTGTTTGTTTTTATTTATTTATTTATTTTTTTGCATGTCTCCTGCAGGTTTCTCTTAACTGGAGTAGCTCCAAAGCCCAGCCTGGTGAGCAGGTCGCTCTCTCTGTGGCTGTCCTTGAACCTGGATCTCAGGTTGGAATTATAGTGATGGGGACACGCCATGGCTCTCAGCAGACTGACCCTGATTTGAAAGTGGAGCAAGTATGAAAATCCCTTCTCTAACAGAAAGCCTGAAGGAAGTTTGAGTATTTGCAGAAAAGTCAAAATACAATCTCCGAAACTCTACTTCTGTGACCTTTTAGATCAGGTCAGATTTATCTTGGTTTGAATACAAAACTAGTCGTCTTGGTCTTCTTCAACACATCTTTTCTCAGTGGAACATGCTGTGAGACCAATAAACCAGTTAGTCTGGATGTAACGTATCTGCTTGCTTTGTTCTGAGACGACTCCACTGTTTCTAAGAGCCGGTAACTCTAGTGTGTTGAGCACAGGTCCTGAGGGCTATTGAAAGGTTGAAGTCGGAGGAAACATAGCTCAGCTACAGCGGGCTTTCTTACATGACCTTTCCTCATCTCCAAAGCTGTGGCTAAGTTTATTGTTTCTAGTATAATGGAACATTACAGAAAATGAGATTTCCTTAGGCATCCTAAGACTTGAGACAGTGTTACACCTTACATCACCCACCAAGACCCTGACCTAAATCTCAGTCACTGTCACAATAACGTTGATTTATTGGTTTGGAAAGTCATTTGCAAACTGCCAGGTAGAAACTTTTCTTCCTGGTGTTGTTGTTTTTTTTCAGTATATATGATAACAAAAGCAGGTCAAACAAACACCAAACAGATCAGATATTAATTTCATTCAACAGTCACAATAAATCTATATACATAAGGTCTTATCAAAATGGTATAACCCAATGATAAGACTTTCCCTTTTTCCTTTTCCTAATTTTTTTTCTTAATTATTACATTTATTTAAGTTGTTAATATTACGATCTTTATTTTTATAACTGCATTTTTGCACTCTTTGTCTGTGATGCTGCTGGAATATTCTATTCTATTCTATTCTATTCTATTCTATTCTAGGACGCTCTTATGATGAAGAATATGCTATGTGGAGAGGAGTTGTTCTGTAGTAACAAAGTAGTTTTAACTGATAAAATTTCAATGTCTTATGGTTTGATTTTTCTTTATTATGAGACTTTTCTGCAGGCATGAATGTTGTTTTTTTTATTTTGACATTTGTCGATGTATTTGAAGTGTTGCTTTAACAGTTATCTTCTCTGTCTTTCACACCTCAGGATTGTGATACTTGGATTATGACCAATGCCAGACTTGATGGGAAAAATCTGCCCCACGGACATAAAAATGGTAGGATGATGATTTAAAAAAAAGAAAAAACAGAAGTCATATCAGGGTGTCTTAACACCTGGATCATTGGAGGAAGTTGTTAAGTAACAGGGGACATTTCTCACCTTCACCTGGATATTTGAAAAAATATGACTACAGCAGTCACACTGAAGCTGAATGCTGGTTAGGTTCAGAGAATTTCAGCCACTTTATAAAATCAGGGGATTTTTCTCTCATTACTGGAACCTTCATTTTATTCACACTGGCCTCGTACCTTTACATACTGTGCAATTTTCAGAAGGAATTTTGAGTTAAAACAGATTTTGCTGGTCTTCTTTCTTTTGGCAGACTGTTTCAAATTACAGGCCATTTGATAGAGTAGGCACAGTCAGGTTTTATTTTGAGCCTGGATGATAGAAAAAAGTACCTTACTTGAGGAGGGGGGCTGTGTCCATGCACTCTAAAAGGTCAATACTCAGGGATTACCCTCTCTGTGCCTTAAAAGCAAGCAGTAAAACTTGAAGATTAACTCACTGATAGCCAGCTCAGATGCACTGAGACATGAGCAATGTGGTCTTCTCATTCAGTGCCTGTTGAATATATGATGAAAAAAAAAACTGATTGAGCTTCTCCAGTTAGGGTTCAACATTTCAAACATCATTTAGCTAAAAAAAGTGAAAAGGTGATGATTCCCCTGATCTGACTTTTGATAACTCTGTTACTGTGAAATCTATGTAGCCCCTGTGTTTCTTGCTAATAGCACTAAACTTGATGAGTTACCTTGATAAAATCTGTTGTCTAGTGTCTCTCAGTCAAAAGTCAACAATCTTACTTTGATTTAGTGGTAGTAATATTTTGATATCTAACATGTACTCGCCATATGACTGTGGAGAAGGAATGAAAGGAGCCTGATTCATTTACAAGCAACTGAGATGATAGAAGTCATACTCAGCACTTGGAGTCCCTCCTGTGGTCATGCTGCATATTGGACTATTTGACCTTGTTGTTCAGATATTTGGGCACTTCAACTCTCTTCTCTCATTTTGGAATCAGATGTGCAATCCTTGATGGTTGAGAAATACTGGAGCCACTGGAGAGAAACTAGTGAATCTCTGCTGTGGTTGGACACTGTTGTAAGGTGAGTGCTTAAAGGCGCAAAGGTAAGAGAAATACTGAGAAGTACTGTCAGATCGAATCATTGTTTACCATAAACTCGTATTTTAGATGAAAGCATGTGACTTAAATTCAGTGTTATGTTTTGATTTGTTGTTTTCTCTCAGTGGTAAAACTTGGACTAGCAGGGAGATAACAGTTCCAGACGGTGTGACTTCTCTGTCGGCTGTTGCGCTGGTGATGTCAGATCATCTGGGTTTGGGTTTCACTCCTGTACCTCAAAAGGTAATTTAAAACTTCAGTGTGTGAATCTGGCTCTCCTACATTTTAGTGGGCTACTAGATATTCCTAACATGATTATTTTGGTTGATATTGATATCCGAGTTATTAAGAATGATTATCCGGTATTTGATGTCTGAAACACACACATCGAACAACTTAAAACATATTCAAAGCTTAAAAACTCATAATTATTTGAATAACACAATAAAATCCAAATTAACATTCAGTTTATTATCAAGCTTCATATTTTGGGTTCCTGAAAACTATTTTAAGTTTGAAATAAGGATTGCCCATCGTCTATTTCACAGCTGTTTGGTTCGTAAACTAATTGTATGACACAAAATATTGATTTGGAAAAAACTGTAATAATTTGAAAATCACATTTCTGAATAGAAAATTTGACATACAGAGTGTCATGAGTTTACTTCCATGCTTGTGAGTCTCTTTTGTTTTTATTAGTTGGTTACAGTAGAGCACCTCATCCTGAAGTTCTCCAAAGCTGTAATTATTGACATGCACTCCTGAAACACTGGTGCAACAATCTTTAGGACAGTGTTTGTTTGATTCAGACAGCACATCAGCCTGTGTAGCATCTGCTGGTAAATCCAAACTCCTTGCAGTAAACACATCCAGCGATGTTATCATTTTAACCTCACTGTTATCAGAATCGTCTACATTTGTTCTAGATGGGTCAATTGTAGCTGCTTTGCTTTGGTGTGCGTAAAACTCTTTACAACTCTCTGTAAACTTTTGATTCTGCATCATCTGGTGTGAATGTGCACATGCTCACACATTCCTTGAGGTTGATTTGGTGCTACCGTTTATTATCATTCATTCATTAAAAAATGTGAATAGCAATCAAGCAGCCCTTAAAGCACCAGCTATCATCACTGAGCAATCAAGATCAGTGCAAATACTGCAGGACTTATGGACTGTTGTATCAAAACTGTTGATTGAACTTAAAAAAAGAATAAATAAATGTAAATGATAATTTAGTAAAATCAGGAGCATGGTTCATATGATTAGAAAAATATATTCCTGTGCATCTTTGGTTCTTTTCCGTATCCGTGGAGATTGGACAGACTGCTGACTGAAAAAACAAATTTAGACAAACAGGCAAAAAAAGTCTTATTTGTGTTTTAAGTCTGTTTATTCTTTCCTTCACAGCTGTCTGTGTCCAAAGATTTTTCCTTGTCTATGGATGTCCCATCATACCTCATCAGAGGGGAGGAGATTGTTTTGGAGGTTGAGATCATCAACCATTTAGAGAGTGAAACTAAGGTATAAAGGATGACATTGGTGCTCATTATTCTGCCAAATAGAAATAGTATATTATTTGATTGATTTGCTTAAATTGACTTCAAACTACTGATTCATCAGTACAACCAAAGATCTGTCCTTGGCAAGTATGATAAAAAGAAAATGTAACATCCTTGATTGAACTCTGTTTTTTTTTGTATTTTTCTCTCCACAGGTTGTTATGCTTCTTGCACAGAGCGAGTCGTTTGAGTTTGTACAAGCAGACAGAAGAGATGTCTCTGTGATAAATGCCAAAAAAGTCATTTTAGGGAGTCACATGTCTGCTGTAGTTCTGTTCCCCATAAGGCCTGTGGCTCTGGGTGAGATGGAAATATCTGTGGATGCCGTATCAGAAGAAGCCTCGGACAGCCTTGTTTGGAAAGTCTTTGTGAAGGTAATGGAAATGATCATACGTTTGGATTTAGAGTGTGAGGTCTCACTGGATTAGATGGCGAAGAAACTGCCTTTTTTTGTAGCAATTCATATCTTAAATGTACTCAGACAAGGATACAGTGTAGATGTGTTAGACAATGTGTTATAAGGCATGAACCCTTTGATAATAACATATAATTTCCATGTTCCCAAAGCCTGAAGGAGTTGAACAATTCTATTCAGAGAGTCTTTTCCTGGAGCTGGCACCAGTGAAACAGAACTACTCCAGATCTGTCTCCTTCCACTTTCCAGATGTGGTTCCAGGAAGCCAGAGGGCCCATGTGGCATTAGTTGGTATGTCTACCATTTGTACTCTTTATTGTGCCAATGGCAGTTTCAACTGAGAGCTCTTCATGTTTACTCTTTGCCAACCAGGCATGTGTAATGATGTTCACATTTTCCTTAGTTCTTAGATAATGAGCCTGGGTAAATGCACATCAAAACTCTTCTGTCCTGAAAACATTTACGTGGAGAATGATTTAAAATGGAAACAATGGACATCAAACAGGAATGTTTATGGCAGGCAGATTCTGAACAGCTGTCAGGCTGTTGGGCTTGGCTCCATTCAGGTTGAGGGATGTTGGGCATTCGTCATGGTAGAGGGGCAAGCCTCACTATTTTCCTCAGTTGGATCAGAATTTGTGGTTTTCCTACTTTTGTGATAGTGGCCTTTAAAAACATACAGCAAATGTGTTGGATTGAAAGTTTATTTCTTTTTGAAATCCACACTAGTACTCTCCTTTGGGGTGTATAATGTAAATAAAAGATGTACGTTTCTAATTGACAATTTTAGATCAAACCTTTATGGTGAGGAGAGAAATCTCTTCATCCTTCTTCAATGTCAGAGTCATTTAAAACAGCATGCATTCATATTCTGATGTAGTAAAATCTATAATCATTAGCTGTAAAGTCACTCTCCATTCCTTTAAAGGTCTGTCCGGTCATAAACTTTATTAGTGACCCATTACCGGTGCAACTGTTAAATCCTTCCCCTGTGTTTTGCTTTTTACAGGTGAAATATTAGCCTTGTCCTTCAGGAACTTGGGTTCTCTGGTTCAGATGCCTCTTGGTTGTGGGGAGCAGAACATGATCCGCTTTGCTCCGAGTATTTATGTCCTCCGGTACCTGGACAAGTCCGCCCAGGATGATGAGGAAATCAGGAGCAGAGCGCTGGGCTACATGATGGAAGGTAGTCAGCTTTTTAAAAAATAACAGACATAGAGTAAAGATACTGCAGCTGCAAAGTTAACTCACTACTTACTTTTGAGTGATCTGTGTCTTTATGTAAGGATATCAAAGACAACTGTCCTTTCAAGGAGATGATGGGTCATTCAGGGCTTGTGGAGCCAGCAGCACCTCTGGAAGCATTTGGTAGGTCACTAGTGTACCAATAATGGTAGACTACTCCCATGAGACAAAAAGTCTTCAACTTCCTCCACCTCTGATGCTCCTTCTCCTGTCTTTGGTCCCAGGTTAACAGCCTTTGTGCTCAGATGCTTCTTCCAGGCTCAGCCTTACATTCAAATACACCCGAGTGTCCTGACCAAGGCCAGGACCTGGCTTTTGAATCACCAGGGACCCAACGGGGAGTTCATTGAGGTGGGCAGGTCAATCCATACAGAGATGCAGGGAGAACTGGGTGATGGTCCAGTGGCACTCACAGCCTTTGTCCTCATAGCGCTGCTCGAGGACAAGAAGTTTGTGGTGAGTCTGGGAAAAATTTTGTTCTTTATTATAGGAAGGGCCTGACAATTAAAATTACATAAATAAGGTTAAGTTACAGATAAAACGCAGACACACTATTGTCACATGGTACTTAATTTGACATCAAGACTCTAGAAAACAGTCATGGATGATCTCTGCATCCAGTACAGCTTATACTGACACCCACACTGGTTTTTATCTATTTATTATCCCTGTTTTTTTCCACGTGAAGGACATGTATGAGAATATGTCCCAGGCTCAGGAGTACCTGGAGGACAGTGTGTCCAGTGGAGATGTCAGTAACTACACCTTATGTTTGGTGGCCTACGCTTTAGCTCGTGCTAACAGTCCATTGGCGGATTATGCTCTGTCTGAGCTCAGCAGGAGAGCAGACTACAGAGGTATGTTGGTAAAAATGTTTTCTTGCTTCATGATCAGGAAAGTCATACATCTGCCTTAATGCTTTACTTTGATGCTGCACCAATCGTGGGTTGTACATCTTCGGAAACTGCCACTCAGTATCTGCTTCAGACAGAGATTGGAGGAGTTATGACTTCATTGTGTCTTATATTTTATCCATCTAATGTTTAACAATTTTTGATTGCCTGAGGGGTGATGTTGTAAACTATCCATCACATCCATATTAATGTGTTGCCATTTAAAGCAGGGCCAGGCCATGGTCACAGCAAGTTAGCCCAGGCATCTCTTTAACTATTGACATTGCTCACAGGGAGTTCTAGGGTATCCCAAATCACATATCCTCCACTTTTATGTACTTTCAACCCCTAATACCATCATTTTTCTGCACTTTATGTGTGATAAAACCCTCAATTATAATATTTTTTTATTCAACCTTTATTTAACCAGTCCTGTTGGGTTAGGATTACCCAGACTCAAGGCACCACAGCACAGTTCAAAAGCATTACCTTGACAAATTCTTTATTCCCTTTCCATCAGCAGTGATCATCACAGATACATTTTGTGGCCTAGCCTTGAGTTGATAAACAACATAACCTTAGATTTCAGACCTTAGAACAAGCTTCAGCTCAAGCAGGGTATTTAAGAACATGCCAAATGTATTCTGTAAGTACATAACAGTCTGTACTACAGTTGCCGCACTGCAGTATATAAGTCATACAATTTTTTGCCCCATATTATTCACATGAATAATAAACAAAAAGGGGCCTAATATGGAGCCCTGCTGCACACCATTATGTGTAGTGATTTCAGTAAATAGCCCATCAGGCACGTGCTAGTTTTGACTGTGTAGCCTAAAAATCAGCATGAATAGGACCCATACTAATCTTGTAAATCAAATTCTTCCTTAGATGAAGTCATGATGTGGCAACCCTCATACGGCCCGGAGTCATTTGACTGGCAGCCGCACTCAACACAGATTGAAATGGCCTCTTATGTGCTGCTGGCTCTTTATACACGTGGCCGCTTGTTGGAGGGCATCGCTCTCATGAAATGGTTAAGCAGCCAAAGTAACCATCTTGGAGGTTATGGGACAACACAGGTAATGCAACACCCATTTGGTGCTCGGGAAAATGATTGAAAGGGGATCCAAACATGAGGAGTTTGACCTCTTACTCTTCTCCCTCAGGCCACAGTAGCTGCCCTCCAGGCTCTGGCTTGTTATGCTGCCTTTAGTGGTGCCTACTCTATTGATCTGAGGCTAAGTTTAGCCACCCAAACATCTCCTGTGTCCTTGTTTAGCATCAACTCTTCCAACTATCGAACATATCAGAGCCAGGAGGTAAAGATTCGTTGAATCTAATTTTTTTTTGTCTCATTTACACACAATTCAAACTGGACATAGTGACAGATGCTTTGTTTCAAAATGTGACTTTGCATTTATTTGACATTTTTTTTAGATTGATGCTAGTAAAGATATCAACATGAACATCTTCCTGGAGGGACGAGGATTTGCAGTATTTCAGGTACACCTTTTCTTACTCTGTGCTGTTCAGTTATTACAGATGATATAACAATTCTATACAGTAACAACATAATAGAGAAGATAAAGAAGGTACCATAAAGTATAGTTTAACTGGAGCATGACCTGAAAAGATGGACATCAGCAGCTGTGCACTATAGCTTCATTCAGCAAAATGTACAGCATTAAAAATGCTTAGCCAAAACAGATAAATGCAAATGTAGCATGAGAATGGACTTCCATCAATTAACATCTGGAACATATAACATCGCTGGAAGTTTAGTCTGAATTTAGTGTGTGTCATGATGGTATCAGTCAGCCAAAATGACATTGTTGAAAGATTAACCCTTTAAATCTATCTCGTCAATTTTACAATGTGCTGTCTTCTCTTACAGCCTCTCTGTATTACACAGTAAGCTCCCACTGTTCGCTGTTTTGTTTTTGAGATGATTGAGCAAGTTCAAAGAGTCAAACCTTACTTTATTTTTGCCCCATGGAAAGGAGAAAAACAGATATTGGCCTCCTGCAACCTTGAAGCATTTGCAGTGAATCATAAACACAACAGACGTATATCATATCTGGCTGTGTTATCAGGCAGTGTTGTAAACTTTAACTCCTCACCTCTGAATCTAAGTTGATAAATTTTTGAACCTCTCTATGAATCTTTTCAGCTGAATGTCTTTTACAACATGGATAGCAAAGCATTTTCACAGAACCTTGAGCAGACTAAGGACAAGGAGGCTTTCTTATTAGATGTGATTGTGGGTGAGGAAAGGGACCGCACTCACATGCAGTTGTCTATATGCACAGGGTAAGTTTTTACTATGCTAACTGATCAATCTGATCAGCTAATGTCATCTTTTAAATTAATATGGGCTTGTTTTTATGACAACAGAGTACGACAAATGAAACAATGGACTGAAACAACATGATATAACATCCTGCTTTTGTCCGCTCTAGATTAAAGAACAATCAGGTGATACCCCGTACAGGCATGGTTGTCATGGATGTGGGTATGCTCAGTGGGTTCGGTCTATCATCTGGAGCTGCTGCCCCATCAGATCTTATCAGAAATGTGGAGACACAGCCTGGGAGAGTCATCCTCTACCTGGACTCAGTAAGTTTTTTTTCATAGCATCATGAAGGGTGGCAGTAATGCCCATCAAGTTTGGAAAAGTAAGAGTTCACATGACGCCTGAAGAGTATAACTCAGGAGTATTATACCCTTATTGAAATTAAACATGTAAACATATATATTTTTTCCAAACAAGTACTTCAAGTTTAGGTGAATGTCAGAATTATGGAACAAGCTACCCCTCCAAATCAGACATGCCCCCACACTGTCCATTTTTAAAACTTGTCTTAAACCCATTTTTATTCATTGGCTTTCAACCCTGTATGAGACTCTGCTCCTGTTTTAGTGTTTTATGGTTTGTTTTTGGTTATTTGTTTCTATGTTTTCAAATTAGTTTTTAAAAACATTACCTGCTTTTATTTTATCCATTGTTTTAATTGTTTTTTGATTGTTTTTTATGTCTGCATTGTTTTGTCTATTTATGTACAGCACTTTGTTCAACTGTGGTTGTTTTAAAGTGCTTTGCAAATAAAGTTGAGTTGAGTTGAGATAGGAGAAAAAATTGATACAGCATAGTATCGCAATATTTTGTGATATATCATTTTGTGTCATTTACCAAGTATCGATTTTTCAAATTAATTGCTAATATGAAGTCAAAAATATGATAATGGAAAATAAAATCAACTGTTTGTCCAGTGAGGTTGGCAGAGGTGACATCATAGAGCAGGGGAAAGTTAGTACAACAAATTTATACAAGATTTGCAACATGTGCTACATGAAAATAAAGTACAGCGTAAATAAGACAAAAATAAAGGAAAGCCAATTACTTAATTATCTAAACAGCTGAAAAAATTGTATAAATCGTAATATATTGTATCGCAATACTCACTGTATTGCAGAATATTAAAAATTGCAATAATATCGTATCCTGGCCCAAGTATTGTTATGATATCATGAGGCCACTAGTGATTCCCACCCCTAATCAGAACTCATCTTTTGAAAGTCATCCTCTGGTCATTCTCTTGATAGCATCTCCAAATCCCTGTAAAATTCAGGATGTAAACTACTGAAAGGGTATGCAAGAAAGCTCAGTTTTGTTCAAGTAAAATGACAGATGTCAAAGAGTAAAGTAACACCAACATTTTCACACTGGTTGCTCACTAAAAAGTAGAAACTAAGCTACTGGTTAATGCAACTTGTCATGACTATCTAAAGTAGCTCAGATAGCACACCTGCTGCCATTCTGTACTGGAAGCTTTTTCAAAGAAAGACAACAAATAGTGGACAGTTATAAACTGCACAAAAGTTATTTTCTCCTCCAGCTTTAGCTTTTTACATTGATCCAAAAAATATGTTTATACTTAAGATTTTTTCACATGCTCACAGAATGGGAACGACTCAAATATGCACATCTCATCCGCACACATGTGGTCAGTCATTTTCTGGTTCTGTTTACAGCTTACCAAGGCGAGGGTGTGCATCACACTCCCAGTTGTCAGAAAGTACAAAGTGGCTCATATCCAGGATGCTGTGGTGCACGTTTACGACAAATGTGAACCTTGTGAGTACAGTTTCACACCATCTTCATTTTGCTTTAATGTCAATGAACAGTGTTGTATATAAAACTATCTAAATAAAAGTTCTTTGAATATAATATGGCACTAATGTCATGTGATTTATTTTCCTTTTTACAGCAAGGAGAGCAACTCGACCGTACAACTCAAATGCTCTGCATAACATGGACTCCTGCTCTTTCTGTGGCGAGGCCTGTACTCTCTGTATGCCAGAAATCACCGTCAATGTGTCCACCCCGCTGTCGTCTCACTCAGTTCGGAGCGTCACCGACAGTTGGTTTTGCCTGTTTCTTGGGGTCATTTCTGTTGTTATTGTCGTCTAAGTAGATTAAAGCTTAATGTAGTTATGAGTAGATTTAAGAAGTAAACTCTGAATGATATAATCTCTGCATGTCCATTCATTGATATGCACTGGTTGCAATGTGAACTGTTTCTCGAATATAAAACTTTTAATTTCTGACAAATGATTGTAATATTTAAAGGACTGCTCATGTTTGCTCTTCTGAACAGTCCTTCTACTTTTTATGCTATCTTATAGTTTGAAATGTTTTGGATAGAATGTGAGAGATAAATTACTCACTTTGGAAACCTTGTCATCTTATTTTATATATGTACACAGCATATTTATTGTTTTATTACAGTGGAAAACTAGTGAGCGATTTCTTGATGAAAGCTGGTATTCTTTACATGATCTTATATGTTGACTGGAATGCAAAGTTTGATAAAGAACTCATGTACAGCTGGAAGAAGAACAAATAAAATTGATTTCTCTATTCCATATGTGTCCCGTTGACGCCAACTTGGCAGAGACTGCAGACATGTTGAGCTGCCCGAAGCAGTATAAAGGCTAAAATAATATTTATTCTACAGCTCTGCTTTACTTTCCAATGACTTTAAGGTCTAATATGTTTTTCCTAAGGTTGATTTATAACAGTACAGCATGAGTCAACCAGACTTTGGTTTTTGGTGTGTAAATGTGCTGCCATGCAGGGAAAAATGCCCTTTAAGGTCATTTGGAGTGAGATAAAGCCTTTCTTACCTCCTCTTCTATGCAAAAAAAGCTGTCAAACACGAGAATCAAAATTCAGACTGACCTGTGGCACTTTACAGAAAGAACACACATGAAAGTTTTCACTTGACAGTAATCAGGTTTGACACTGCTGACGTACTAAAAAATGTGGATGCTGCTTCTAATACCTCAGCCTGCTGGGCTCAGGCTATAGCATGCCACATAGAATAGGCTGGTTACGAATGTTTTCAGAATAATGCAGCATGTAGTGAACGCTGTACAAGATTGGTTTTATCAAAGCTCTGCCCCATGGAAATGATGATAAATTATACCACCAAACTTCCACCGATGCCCTGAGTTCAATTATGTTGCTGAATCTTATATTTGACCTTTTTGGAGATCAGCTGTTGTTACGACCCTGGCTCAGGGGACGCAACATAAGGGATCTGAAACAACTCAAAGTTTTCGCCAAAGCATTTATTCACAAGATCTCAAAATAACATGGGACGGTATGGGAGCTGGGACAACATGTCTGGTCTGGCTGCAGGCTGAGACAGAGTGTGGAAGAGTCTCCCTTGGCTTTTATGGACTGCCCACAGGTGCAGGTGATCAGCTCAATTATCTGGTGGAGCCAGCATATGGAGGCCAGCAAGTGCCACAAAGGAGTCCTCAGGAGTGCCTCAAAGAAAATACATATTAGTGTGGCATCTTCTATAAATGCACATGTAACAGCTGTATTTTCCTTTTATCCCCTTTTTACCCTCAGTGTGCTGTCTCTGTGTTTTGTATCTGTAATTGTATTGCATGTCTGTTTTTATGTGTAGGATGCTTTATGTGGACTATTGCACTGAAATACTCCCCTCAAGGGGCAATAAAGCATTTTGCTCATAAGCAAAAGCAGACATGGAATGAAGTTAAGATTATGAATTACACTAAAGGAAAATACCAGGGACAAACTCTGGGCTTCATGTGACTTTGATAAATGGTTACAACTTGTAAACAGATCTCCCAAAAATGACTTCCTTTGACTTATTTTCTGCTGTAGAATGAAGAAAATGTTCCGGTGAAGCTGATTTACCACAGTCCTGACTTTGTAAAATGTTACTGCACAGATAATGAGCGCCTCCACCTTGAGTAGATTCAGAGATGTTTCTGTGGATATCTTGACCATATGTGGCTGCATGGTTGGTGCTCATTTTCACCGCCAGTCCCCACATTGTTCACATATGTTGTTGTTATAAGACATTAACTTATTTAAGCTTTTTTTTCTTGTTACTGTAATTACACTCCAGGGGCTTGAATTACATCATAAAAAAGGAAAACAAACACTTTCATGCAGAAACATTAAAGATAAAAGATAAAATACATTTGGAAACTATACTGCCACAGTCCCTCAAGGCAGAATTAAAACATCCCTTGCTGTATCTATTAAGATGCAAACTTCTTTTTTAACAAATTCTGTGTTTAATAATGCTTCACAGATCTCAAACTCCCGCAGTACCACATTTAAACAGTAGATGGCAGGCTTGTTAATATAATGGCCACTCACCTGACACTCAGATAAGCTTGATAGTCCTTGGAAAAGGACACGTTTGAACTAGGATCCTTTTTAGACTCTTTCATCATAATTTTGTGCCCAATACTTGGTGTAATGAGAGCTTATCATGTAGAGAGAAAAACATGTAAACAGTTCAAAGATAAAAAAAAAATGCTTAAAAAATACCTCTTGCATTCTGCGCAGTAACTTTGAGTTGATTTCCTGTAATTACAAATGGATTTAAAACAAATTCGCAGTAGTTGTGGAGTAAACATGCAATCATAAGGGATAACAGCACAAGCCTAGAGGTCAGGATAAATGACCCTTTCTAACCAGGGTCTTGTTAGGGGTCAAGCTACAAAAACAGACATCAGTCAGGGGCCAACACTGGTCATGATGTCATGCACTTACTATGTCAAAGAAGAGCCTAGTGAAGGTCCTTACTGGCAAAAAGCTGAGATCATAGAAACCTTTGGAGCTTGAAATGACTTGATGTTAGCCTCTCTTGGTGGAAAGTTGTATGGAAGGTAGAAAAAAAGGTGCGTGCCTTTACAGAGAACATCTCTCACCACCTAGCCTCATCAAAATATTATATTGTGAATCACCTTTACCTATTTTCAAAGGAAGCTCTGCAGCTTGTGTTCAGGTATAATCATGCCTACAGCTACAAGGAATTCATAAATCAGCTCCAGAGACTGTGATAATCTTTTATTTAAATTCACTGCTTTTAAAGGGGCTACAAAAAGAAGACTTTTGGCAACATGTGTGTCAACAAGATGTCAAAGTGAGGAAGATTAGAATTTATTAGCGTCATGCATCCGTCAGAAAAGCATGCGATATTGTTTTTGGACTCAACAGAGAAAAAAAAAATCAGGTGTGCACTTTGATGTAACCTGAATTGTTAATGGCAGCAGGATTTTCAAAATAAGTTGTATCACAGAGAAATCTCTCCTGCTGGGAAGATTTTTAAAAAACACTCATCATGAGGGAAAACTCAGCTGGACACTCTGTATTTGTATAAGTGATCGTTTATTGCTCTGAATGCTCAGCATTGACAATGATATATTGTATTATTACAACCATAAATTGCATAATAAAGACTCAGTAGTTTACATTTCTTACCACAGTTATTCGCTGAAACATCATGTGGTTAGGAAGTGCTTCTGCAAGTTTGGTGCTTTATGTCAACAAAACATTTATCTCAAAAACAGATATGAAGAACAGCCCCCTGTGGCTGTCCTCAAGATGACATCAGTAGGAAAAATTCACCATCACAACAAACAACCACATCATATGGATGGCCAACGCTGTCGGTGTTATGCCAGAAATCAGGGACTGCTACAGCAACAACAGAGATGAATGAAAGGGAAACCGTCAAACTCCCCAGTGATTCCACCTAAGCGGCTGCAGTTGGGAGGAGGATGATGCATTTGTTTGGCAAGGCACGCTCCATTCACCAGGGCGAGTCATGGAAAATCCCTTTGAGCTTCCATCCCACCCAGAGTCAGTGTGTATTTACACAACCCCCGGGCGACCCTGCACAGGCCGGCCCAGACAGACAAATCCATCCCAGACAGAAGGGACTCCACAGGAGCAGAGCAGGGCCGAAAGTCCACTCAGTCATCCTGCAAGAGGGAAACCGTCCATGATCTTATCACTATGGAATGGTACTCTGAGGTGGAGGTGATGCCAAGTTTGAGGAGTCTGGTCCAGTCTTTGTCACTGTCAGAGATTATATCTGGGTGATTAGTGCCTGTCTGCTCGCACGGCACAAGTGATTCTGTCTGCTGATGTGAGTCACTGTCTCTTGGACTGTCAGCTGTTACTGTGTCTGCATCAGTGCATCACTGCAGTTCAAGTACAAACGACTACAAACCCAATGAGACATGAAATTACACAACTATGATCCAACATCCTCACTACAAATTATGGTCTAACTTAGCTGTTTTCCTCTTAAAACTTTCAGTCCGAGATCTGTTCTCAAATTTATTTCTAAAGAAAATACTCCCAAATACTAATGTGTTGTGTTTTTGTAGCTCAATTGAGGGATTCAGATTTCTGTGGGTTGGTTGATTCACCATTGTGGTCCAGACAGAAATGGTCTAACAGCTATTGGGAAGACTGTCATTCAGTTTAATTCAATACTTTTGCCCAGACACTGAAGAAAGAGACTCTTGTGATTCTTACGATACTAAACCTGCAAACTCAAACACTTTTGTGTCAGTGATACATGTAACGCTCCTCTTTCTTCTTCTGTTAGATTCACAGCTCCTCTGATCATTTGCTCCTCTCTTATTGTCTCCACCTGTGTCTGATTAGTCTCATCTGTGTCTAATTGCTCTCAGTGTGTTTAGTCTTTTTTTTTACTTCCTTTTTTTTTCATTTTTTTCCCTTTACCCTTTGCTTTTCTGTTTTTAGTTTAAACTGCTGACTAGACTCTGTATTTCTTTTCTTTGATTATTTTCTTGCACACCCAATCTGACTGCTGTGGCTCTATTTCTCATCTGAAACATTGGAGGCTTAATCACAAGCTCATGCTGCCTACATATCACTGGACTCAAAGTTCCCCCAAAGGCATCAGTGTGCGAATGTGCTCAAGTCATGCTCAAAGGCAGTTGGGCACTTTAATTAGCAGCTGTAGTTTCTACCAGTGTTTGAATTTGACATGTCGTGTAAATGTGCTTTTACAGGTTTAATTTCCTTGAGGGAACCTTCCCAAAAGGATCAATAAAGTCTGTTTAATCTAATTTAATCTGATCTAAAAGTGCTGTCTAGTA